CTTCCCCCCTCTCCCCCCCAATGCTGCGGCTTGAACCTGGGTGCTGTCCCTGACCTTCTTTTGCTCAAGGCTAGCACTCTACCACTTGAGCCACAGCGCTACTTCTGGCTTTTTCTGTGTATATGGTAATGAGGAATGGAACCCAGGGCTTCATGAATGCTAGGCAAGGACCTACCACTGAGCCACCTTCCCAGCCCAACTCTTTTCCTTTTGAGCGACTTGGTCTCCAGTATTTGTCTTTTCTTTTCTTTTTTCGTTGGTCATGTTGAGCTCAGGGCATGGGCACTGTCCCTGAATTCTTTTGCTCAAGGGTAGCACACTACCATTTGAGCCACAGCACCACTTCTGGTTTTCTGGTGGTTAACTGGAGATAAGTCTCGGATTTGCCTGTTCAGACTGGCTATAACCCTGAGATCTCAGCCTCCTGAGACCTAGGATTCCAGGTGTGTCACTGGTGCTCACTCAGCTTTGAAGTGGGCTTTATGCTTTTACTTATGAAATCAGCTTCCAACTTAATTGTGAATGAGAGCCTAAAATGGAAAGACAGATGAAACTGAACTCTGCTCTTCTGGAAATGAGGGGATAGGAAGGGGCAGGCAGTTTGAAACTATCTTTAACCACCAAAAAACTGGAATTGGAGCTGTGGCTCAAGTGGTAGAGCACCAGCCTTGAGAGAAAAGGCTCAGGGACAGAACCCAGGCTTTTAGTTCAAGCTCCTGTACTGCAGGAGGACACACACACACACACATACAAGCCTCCAAACTCTTTGAGGAGCATGTCTGAAAATCTCTACTGAAACAAAAACAGATTTTAGAGACTGGAAATCTTTCATAGAAACTCCTGCTTGTTATTTAGAGTTTCAGATTTCACCATTCCCATTCCATGGCTGCTGTGGAGACTGCAGTGGATAACATGTAACATAACTGAGATTTTGTAACAATATATAAACACAAGTGTCTATTCCTATAAATCCTTGACTTCAAAAAAGTGGCAAGGAAGCTGGGCGCCAGTGTCTCAGGCCTGTAATTCTAGCTACTCAGGAGGCTGGGATCTGAGGGTCACAGTTCAAAACCAGCTGGGCAGGAAAGTCTGTGAGATTCTTATCTCCAATAAACCACTAGAAAGCCAGAAGTGGTGCTGTGGCTCAAGCAGTAGAACGCTTGCCTTGAGCTGAAGAGCTGAGGGACAGTGCCCAGGCCCAGAGTTCAACCCCCATGACCAACAACAACATCAAAAAAGTGGCAACGAGCTAAGATAGTATTTGATGAGTTTTACTGAATCCTGAATGTTCTCAGGAAATAGCCAGGCACCAGATGGCTGATGCCTGTACTCTTAGCTATTCGGGAGGCTGAGGTCTGAGGATGGAGATTAGAAGCTATTGTAATTAACCAACAAAAAAAGCAGGATGTGGAAATGTGGCTCAAGCAGAGTGCAAGACTCCAGTGACTACGGCTAAGTGAGCGCACGAGGCCCCGAGTTCAAGCCCCCAGCCTTGAAACAGACAAAAAAGGAAGGGCCATAAATCCTCAGCCGAACGAAGTATGAGAAAACCAAGTTTAGTTAACAAAATACTGTCATCTAAATAGAACTACTAAAGAGTATACATAATTTTGATTGGCAACAGAAAATGATCTAACAAAGCTTATTTAACTGCTCTGAGAGCCCAATGCACCTCTGTAATAATTTAGGTTTCGGGGCTGGGAAGGTGGCTCAGTGGTAGAGCGCTTGCCTTGCATGCCTGAGGCCCTGGGTTCGATTCCTCAGCACCACATAAGCAAAAAAAGAAAAAAAAAAGCCGGAAGTGCTGCTGTGGCTCAAGTGGTAGAGCGCTAGCCTTGAGCTGAAGAGCTGAGGGACTGCGCCCAGGCCCAGAGCTCAGGCCCCACGACCAGAACCAAAAAATAAAAAATAAAAATAAAAAATAACAATTTAGGTTTCACTGGGCCTAACAGGCAACACCCAAACACAACATGAATGCAGTGAGGTGGAGGGGCAGAGTAAGAGGTCACTTGCAAGAGAGCTTCATAAGCCTTTTACATTGCTCCATGCCTTACCTTGCTGAACACACATATAAAATACAACAGCAAAGGTTCTCTCTAGAACCAGGTGGCTGAACTAGGTGACTCCTGAAGGGGGAGCCAGCCCGGTGAACTGAATTCAAATGTGTAAACTCGGGGTTCTGTCTCGCTGGTGTCCCCCTGGCCCAGAGCTTATCAGCTGTGATGGGGTGGGACTTCCCAACCTGAAAGGCTGTACTTAATTCTGTTATGGAGCATCCTTTCTGACTGCCATCCCCTTTTGGAATCAAATTGAAAACAGAGTTAGCACCTGCTCTGTGAGTACTTAATGTAGTACTCAACATGTTTCTAAAGATAGCGACAGCTACTGCAATGGAGCAGACGCCTCCCTGAGCCTTTGAAGCCAGAAGCCTGAAATACTCCCTGGTAGAGGAGATGAGGCAGTGCAGAATGGCCACTGTGGATTTGGTACAACTGCCATTTTGGGTAGGAGCTTGAGGTGACTGAATTATGAGCTAATTTAGGTCTGAAAGAAAAACTTGCACAGTATTTAACCTTCTTGGTACAAATCAATTCTCCACATTTATAACCAAAATCAAACATGTTTATAAGAACTTTTTGTGGCTGGGTACTGGTATAATCACACCTATAATCCTAGCTACTCAGGAGGCTGAGATCTGAGGATCATGGTTCAAAGCGAGCGCAGGCAGGAAAGCCCATGAGACTGTTATCTCCAATTAACCACCAGAAAACCAGAAGTGATGCTGTGGCTCAAAATGGTAGAGTGCTAACTTGAGCAAAAAAGCTCAGAGATAGCGCCCAAGCCCCACATCCAACAACAACAAAATAATGTTCTGCAAATCAATATTTGGCTGAAAGACATCTTGAGAAGTTAGATTGAAACCTTGTAAGTCTGTTTTGTCTATAAAAACTTGAAGTTGACATTTAATATTAAAAGTCCAAAATGAATCAACAAGCCCTCCGATCCCCTCAGAGAACTGTAGGGAGAGCCTTGTGAGACAGCCATAGTACTAATAATTTATTTCTCTAACTTTTTATTAAGCTGTTCCAGGAGTGCAAAGTGAAACAAATAGACAGGTCTGTGTATTCTTTTTTTTTTTTTTTTGGGTCCGGTTGTGGGGCCTGAACTCTGGGCCTGGGCGCTGTCCCTCAGCTCTTCAGCTCAAGGCTAGCCCTCTACCACTTGAGCCACAGAGCCACTTCGGGCTTTTTTCTTTTTCCTTATATGGTGTTGAGGAATCGAACCCAGGGCCTCAGGCTTACAAGGCAAGCACTCTACCACTGAGCCACCTTCCCAGCCCCCAGGTCTGTATATTCTTTGTGTACACACACATACCACCAGAACCAGGATCTGGACTTAGTTGCTCATGCCTCTGCTTAGCTTTTTTGCTCAAAGCTTATATTCTACCACTGGAGCCACATCTCTACTTCTCTTTTAGTAGTTGGTTGGAGATGGAGTCTGATAGACTTTTCCTGTTTGGGTCAACTTTGAACTGAGATTCTCAGATCTCAGCCTCCTGTGTAGCTAGGATTACAGGTGTAAGCCAGTAACAGCTGGCTACATCTTTACAACAAAGTTCCTTTTTTGGCTGGGTGCTTGTGGCTTGTGCTGCAGCACCATGGTTGAATCAGGACAGCATGGATTCCACCAGACCACTTACAAGGCAGGAACTTAAAACTTACAAAATTGAACCAGGCACCAGTGGCTGATGCCTATAATCCTAGCTAAAAGGAGGCTGAGATCTGAGGATCCTGGTTCAAAGCTAGCCAGGGCAGGAAAAATCTCTGAGACTTACGCACCCAAAAAGTTGGAGGTGGAGCTTTGGCTCAAGTGGTAGAATGCTAGCCTTGAGCAAAAAAAAAGCTTAGATACAGCACCCAGGCTGAGTTCAAGCCCTGTCACACACACACACACACACACACACACACACACAGAGACACACACACCACTCACACACACTCTCCTTATGAAATTGTTTCTGGGATTTTTTTAGGCCCAGGGCAACGACCACCCCAGAAAGATCAACTTTGGCTCCTATACTGAAGGTGAATAAGGACCTTGGACATCCAGTATTGCCTACCTCATATGTAAAGTCTGAGATTAGTATTAACTGTCCAGAAAGGGACTTCAGTAGGAGAAAACAATATTACTAAGCAAACAAGTTCCAGTTTTTATTTTTAAAGCATTTAATTAAACCAAATTAAAAAATGATGGATTTACAATAAAATAATCACGTTAAAGTGTTTGCCCTTTCAAGTTAGGGCCAAGGAGACTGACAGTCCCCTTTGAAACAGCAGAACTGCACAGTTGATACTGTTGATATTTCCACCTCTGTCAAATGGTACAGACACACAGAAGTCATACAATCTCCATTGGCATGTTCTTCCCTCCAGAGTTCAAACACTTGCTTCTTAGATCAGTGTTTAGCCTTCTGGAATCAGTTACATTTCAAAATCTATCTATAGCCAACCCGGTAAGAACACCTTTAAATAGTGCTTTGTTTTTTGGGTTGTGGGACTTGAACTCAGGGCCTAGATGCTATCCCTGAGTTTTTTCACTCAAGGCTAGTGCTCTACCACCTTGAGTCACAGTGCCACTTCTGTTTTTTTTTTTGTTTTTTGAGTGGTTAATTGGAGATAAGAGTCTCATGGGGATTTTTCTGCCTAGGCTGGCTTCAAACTGTTATCCTCAGATTTCAGCCTCCTGAGTAGCTAGGATTACAGGTGTGAGTCATTGGTGCCTGGCTAAAACAATTCTTCTAGAAAACAAATACTTTAAAATAATTTGATGGCACAGTAGATGGTTAACAAAACAGTAAAGATGAGAAATAATGTACAAGAATTAGTTCCTTGGCTATACAAACCATCCACACCTCTTCGCTCACTAACTAACCATGCTTCTTATATTAGCTAGCAGAGATGAATAACAAAAAGCAGAATGCACCATTTGGTTTTTGGTTCTTGGTTGTAGGTTGTAGCTGCCAGAGTTGAGAGTTCATGACTGAATACAAAGCAAAACAATAATTATGCTTCTAATTCTAGGATGGACAGACAGACAAACACAATCTAAGTTTTTGTCTATTTTGTTATCAAGTCACGATAAAAAAATTCACAGCAGTTTAATAGATGAAGACTGGGCACCCACAAAGACAAAATCGAGATTAACTTTACAACTTATAATCTTCAAGGAAAACTTGGTTACTTAGGACACTGCGTGGCACACTGAGCCTGGCATACATGCAGTGTGTAGTCACTCACAGACAAGGCAGCCTTCAGGCAGAATGTCTACGCTTGCCAATGCACAACCTTCAAAGAACAACTACCAGAAAGGCATATGGAATTTACAACAGCTGACCAGGCACTTAAAGGGGAAAGTGATTTTGAGGTAAGCTAGCATTATTTTCAGTTTATTACAAACATATTCCAACAACTCCAGTTTTAATCACACTAACAGAACTTATTTAGCTCTTAAACTGTTATGTCTGTCTCTCTGTCATGGCAAAATTTAAACCCCAAGTCATTCCTTAAGAAGCCAGAAGGAGAGGATTTTCAAGTAGGAATTTGGCCCTATCTGGATACCTCTGTGCTGGAACACATGTGAAAACACTATAGATGTGCAGACAAGGTGTGGTCCTAGGAGCCCAGGGTGGCCTACCTTCTCCCTAATCTGACATTAAATGGAAGAGTCAAGAGAATACACTGTGTGTCAGAGTCAATGAAAAAAGATTGGGGCAGGGGTGCCAAGCCTCAAGGAAATGAGAGATCAATGAGCCAAAAGGCACAGGACACAGCCCCAAGGCTTACAGGCACCAATCTTTTGTGGAGCAGCGGGCATAAGCAGGCATCAGCCAGCAGACCACAGTCTGAGCCTGCCTCTGGGCAGTCTGCGCTTCTTTCCCTCTTGTTCATTTCCAGGTAATGGTTTGTTTCCTAAGTGAACATTCATGTTAGAAAACCAAGAAAAATGCATAGCTATTAGAAGACCATATAAGAGAGTGGTCATTTGGAATTAGTTGTGGTTCGATGGGATCCAAGTCTGTTTTCATTAGCATTACTGGGGCTGGAGCTGGCTGTGGAACATGAGCATGGCACGAGCACGGTGAGCAAGGCACGTGCAAGGTGTTGGGCTCTGGCCCAGTGTTGTCTGCCAGCCCCCAACCAGTGTCAACAATAGCTCTATTTTCCATTCTGTTCTAAAATAGCAAGTCCAAGTCTCCTTTGTGTTCTGAATAAATTCATCACCCTTCAAAGAACATTATAAGCAACAACCGGCACATTCCTGATTCATCCTCATTCCAGTAAAAACAAGAAAAAATAGCAACTTTATTCAAATTGGCTTTAAAAAGGGCTTACTTCTGAAGATTTCTACTGCCCACATAGGATCCCAGGCTTTTCCAGTGCCAGTGAAGGCCTCACGGCACTAACCTCTAACCTCTTCTTCCCTTGCAGGGCAAACAGGCATTGGTGAAACTGCAAGAGTTACCACACAGGGAGTGGCTTAGGGAAGGGGTTTACTTTTGTGATAACTGACTTGTTTAGCCTTTGCATCAGCGACCTCCCTGGTCCATTAGCACCATGGTTAACTAAACGGAAACAGTTAACCCAGCCCCTACTGCAGAGGGGCCGAGGGAGGGAGGCGGTACGGTGGTGACCTGACAGGAGTAGGACACTTACTGTGTTATGAAACTAGGACAGGCAGTGGAGATGTAACACCGTATTTGAGGACTGAAGATCACGGATTACAGCTATAAAGCAGTACACCAAACTTTTATGATATCTGAGTATGTGTAACTGAAGAACTTCCTCCTTTGACCCAAATTTCATAATAAATGGAAGTTGTTGAGTATTAGATTATCAGTAAGCTAAAAACAAAACAGAAAACAGCAACAACTCACAAACTTTGTAAGTATTAAGCTACTAAAAAGCGATGAGGTTAGCCATGAAGTGATTATCACTAGTCACTGTTTCCAGTTTCTTCTCTCTCCTGGGAAAGGCCCACCCAGGCTTCTGCGAAAGCACCTTACCATAGGTGACTGTCTAGGGACCTTTCCTCCAGCTGGTAGTCAGAGGCTGCCACCCCCATGGCTGGGGGACCCTGCTCCACGGAGGTCCCGGGGGAAGTCTACAAACCACTTCTAGGAAAAAGGCACTTTATTGGGAAAGTTGGATTCAATTTCATGGAAGTCAGGAAGAGTAAGGCGGATGCCAGGGTCAGCGCGTTCATTCACCCTTCTATTTGTGAAAGCGGGGCAGACTCATGCCAATTTATAGAGCATAGCTGATCACATGACAATCAAACCAATCGGCAACATTGACTAGATTCTTGGCAAAACAGTAATTTATGACATTTCTCCAAAAATGAACAGAGGTTCAACAGTAAAAAAGAGGGGCGGGGTAGGGAGGAACCCCGCAGCTACTCCTCTAGAGCTCAAGAAGCTGCTGCCAGCCTGTTTCAGAGCATAGACTGCTTTTCTCAGGGAAAGGCCTGCCTAGCACAGGTTGGTTTGTTTCTCATGGGGAAAACCCAGGGCAGAACACTACCAGGGAGCAGAGGAGGCGCACTTCTCTGGTCAGATGACCAAGCGAGGAGGTAGTTGTTCTGAGAGGTTCTCGCAAGACCCCCGAGTAGTCAGGGCAGCAGGAGTGTCTCTGAGATGAAGAGAGCAACTGGGTTCTTCTCCTCCGGAGTCAGGACTGGGGTCAGCGGCTGAAACACAGACAGGACGCGAGAGTCAGGACTGGTGGTCAACGGCTGAAACACAGACAGGACGGGCATGGGAGCACAGCAGGAAGGGCAATGCATTTCTAAGTGAGTCCTACCTTCAAAGTGGCTCTTCTCGGACAACAGACATGAGAATCTGAAAGAGAAGACCACACACCATGTTATCATTTAGTTTTGAAATGATCCTTCAAACTCCAGATCTGTGCCAAAAATGTGGTATACAATTCATGAATACTGTCTTCTAAGTTCTAATGTTATAAAAAAAATTGAACTCTGTAGAAATGTTATTATTCTGATATTAGAAATGTTATTTCTAATTACAAGTAAGCCCATGGCACTACCAGAAATGGCACCATAAAGGAAATATTAACTAGGTTAAAATGCACAGAAATGATCACTTAAATAGCAACAATCCCACGAATAGTAATCAAATTGCCTGATTCTAAATAATGACATAATTACATGATAAGGTCAGTGGCTCATGCCTAGAATTTTAGCTACTCAAGAGGTTGAGATCTGAGGATCCAGGTCTGAAGCCAGTCAGGGCAAAGCTGACTCGAGTCCAATAAACCACCTAAAAAGCTGGAAGTGGAGCTGAGGGCTCAAGTGGTAGAGTGCTATCCTTGAGCAAAAAAGCTAAGGGACAGCGCCCAGGCCCTGAGTTCCTGCTCCAGTCCCCCAACCCCACAAAACTCCACAGAAGACCTACGCTCACTCCTCGTTACATCAGCACACAAGGCAAGCCCATGCAGCCCCGGGTCCCGTCATCACTGCTGTTGAGCTTTTTCATCCGGTACTGGCGGATCTCTCTCACCAGGGTGTAAAAGGCATCCTCGACACCCTGTGACAAAAGAGAAAGAATGAGAGAAGCAGACCCCTCCCAGTGGTAAGCCCTTTCCCACTCACACTTCTTCATGTTCTATCAGCTAATAGAGTAGGGTGGTTTGGGACAAGGACAGGAAGTCTGATATTCCTAGGGCAGCACACCAACCGGCTGACATAGGAATGACATTATTTTTCAAAAAGCATCCCAGCAAAAGGAAAGGGTGGTGTGGGACACAACGAACAGAACTAGGGCTGGCTGCCACGGGCTCACACCTGTAATCCTAGCTACTTGGAGGCTGAGACTGCTCTGCCTCCAGTGAACATCATGCCTGTGCTCCCAGCTTGCCCCACCTGTCTGGTCTTGGCTGAGGTTTCGATGAATGGGATCCCGTAGCTCTTGGCCAGTTCGTGGGCTTGTTTTGTGTCCACTGTCCTTGTGGGCAAGTCACATTTGTTCCCCACCAGCACCATGGGCACATCCTCGGAGTCCTTCACTCGTTTAATCTGCTCCCTGAAATAGAACACAAGAAAGCAAGCTGTTAGGAGAGGGCACATAGGAGGGAGAAGGAGACTGGCACCTCTCAGGGAGCTCTGTCTCCCTTAGCATCCACATACCCAGATGGGAGGGCAGAGGTCATGCAGCAGCCACAGCCTCGGGCACTAGCTCAACACCCAGTGGAGCAGGCTAAGCCTACTTTCTATTAATCTTATGTTGCTATACTAGTCACTTTTTTTTTTTTTTTACCAGATGCTTTAAATACTCTTTGGACTGGGATATGTGTGTGTGTGTGTGTGTGTGTGTGTGTGTGTGTGTGTGTGTGTGTGTGTGTGTGTGTGTGTGTGTGTGTGTATGCACGCGTGAGCATGCACGTGCGCGCACACACACACACACACACACACACACACACACACACACACACACACACACACGGGGATTATAACAAGAAAAGTCCAGACACAACCAGCATAGAAGCCAATTTTTTTTTTTGTCAAGATTGGTGAATCTGGGGATGCAGATCCTCCCAATTTCCAGAGACAGAAAAGGAAAAATCATGAACTGATGCTGGATGCTGATAGCTCATGCCTGCAATCCTAGCTACTCAGGAGGCTAAGATCTACGAATTGTGGTTCAAAGCCAGCCCAGGCAGGAAAGTTCCTGAGACTCTCATCCCCACTTAACCCCCAGAAAACCTGAAGTGGAACAATGGCTCAAAGTGGTAGAGTGCTCGCCTCAAGGACAATGCCCAGGCCCTTAGCTCAAACACATGACTGACAAAAACTCCCTAAATCCTGTGAACTCAGTTTTGCACTCACTTCAGAAAGCAGACATCTACATATGAATGGAACACAAGTCAGACCTCAGGGCAGACCACATGCGGTGTGGTGTGTGCTCAGCAATGTGGTACACACCATAGGCCTGGGCTTGCTCTGAGGGAGTCCCAGGCTACCACATCCTAGCAAGCAGGGGCTATGATCTCTGGAGAGGGACCAATATAGACAGGAGTCATTTTTCTCCACAGTCACAGAGGTAATAAAAGATGGAGCTGAGTATTCAACTCAGAAGTGTGGGTTTTTGCTACTAATAGAAACCATGATTCTAAAAATCCAACGTTATTTTCTGCACTCTAGTTCTGATTCTATAAAATAGGAGTGTTGGTTGGGCAAGGTGGTACATGTGTGTGGTCCTAGCTTTCAGGGAGTATAGGCAAGAGAATTGCAAGTTCAAGGCCATGCTGGGCTATATAGCCAGATGCTACAGAAAAAATAAAGAAAAAGAAAGAAAGAGAGAAAGAGAGAGAGAGAGAAAGAGAGAGAAGAAAGAAAAGACACTGGTGGCTCACGCCTATAATCATAGTTACTCAGGAGGCTGAGATCTGAGGACTGCAGTTCAAAGCCAGCCTGGGCAGAAAAGTCCATGAGACTCTTATCTGCAATTAATACCCAGAAAACTGGAAGTGGTACTGTGGCTCAAAGTGGAAGAGCCCTAGCCTTGAGCAAAAGAGCTCAGGGACAGTGCCTAGTCCCTGAGTTCAAGCCCATGACTGACAAAAAAAAAAAAAGGAAAAAAAGAAAACAAAGGTAATACATTAGAGTTTTTTCTGGCTCCCTCTAGCTCTGAAACTCCCTGGCCTTGGATGTCCTCTTTCTCTGTACTCCTTGTTATGCACCCCTATTTGTCTTTCCTGTTTCCCAGTGCTAAGAAGCATCATTTATGTACTGTAACAGCAGACTATATACAAGAAATCCAGCATTTACTCTGCTAACACCTCCTGAAACCACTCCCGCCATTTTCTTCCACTCCCGACACAGCTCAGGACAGGGCAAGCCCTGTCTCCCTTCCAGAGGCACTGTACCGCACCTGTACAGGTTGATGTCTGCAAATGACTTGCTGTTATTAATAGCAAACACGCAGAGGAAGCCCTCGCCTGTCCTCATATACTGGTCCCTCATAGCGCTGTACTCCTCCTGTCCAGCGGTGTCCAGGATGTCGAGCAGACAGGTTTCTCCGTCTATCACTACCTGCTTTCGGTAAGAATCCTGGCAAGGGGAGGGAGAAGGAGAGTTGACTTTGATTACAAACCAGAGGAAACAAAATGCTGTTATCAAGGATAAATGAACCTCTTAATTACTTAGTCTATTGCTGATTTGACCCTCAAACAAATTAAAGCAATGCCTGTACTGTCCATTTCCAAGAATCCCAGGAAAAACCTGGACTACAGGCATGGCTCAAGTGATCTAAGCAATCCTGGCAAGCTCTAAGCCCAAGTCCAGCACCCCTGCCCCCCCCCCCCCCAGGACAGATATTAACTAAGAATATATTTTAGTAATCCATGAACTGGACTATTTTGAGTTGTTTTATTTGATTTGACTTTTAAAATTCCAAACATACCTACAACAATTTAACCTAACCCTGAATACAGAATCATTTATACTTATGATTAAATATACATATATCTTTTGTTTGGGGGAATCTATAACACCTAAACTGTTTTTTCTTTTTCTTTTTGGTACTGGGGATCAAACCCAGGACATTGCACTTGCTAGGCAAGCGCTTTGCCACAGCTACATCCCAGCCCCAAACTGTTTTTACTTACCATAGCAGATCATACCACTGGGAAAAAGTTCTGAGACAAATTCCTCAAGTTCCAAATAAGGTACAATTAGTTGCTTTGGAGACAGATTTGAATAATCATATGAAAGTACCCTTAATTTTGTTATATAGCATTAATTTTTCTTGTTCTTTATTCTCTTGAGGGGTGGTTAATTAAGTGCACATAAATTTAACCTGAGTTTTAGATGTAAGATTTATGCATTTTACTTATAAAATACTTGTATATTACACTTATGAAATATTTTTAAGTTATCCCTCAAGAAATAAAACTGAAAAATACTGCAATCAATTTTTTTTTTTTGGGGGGGGGGGGGAGGCAGTACTGAAACTTCAACTCAGGATCTGGATGCTGTCCTTGAGCTTTTTTGCTCAAGATAGTGCTCTAACACTTGAACCACAGCTCCACTTGCAGCTTTTTTTTTTTTTAAGTTAACTGGATGTTAAGTTCTATGGGCTTTTCTGCCTTGAACTGACTTTTCAAACCTCCATTCTCAGATCTCAGCCTCCCGAGTAGCTAGGATTACATGTGAGCCACTGATGTCTGGCTTGTAATAATGGCTAAATTTGAATGAGTTTGAATTAGTGAGGTCAAGGATGGAATAAAACAATCTCTAGAGATAGACAAATTGGACAAAATTGGACAAATTTATGAACCCTTTAAAGAGTCACAGATATTGGTTCCAGGCAATTTGTAACATGAACTCCCAGAGTACCACAAACATCCTTAAGTATATAGTACTGTGAAGACTTCACCATTCACAGACAACTTGGTAACATTTTTGTTTTTCTCCAGTGGTGGGGATTGAACAGAGGCTTACCCTTGTTTAGCAAGTGTTCTATCACTTGAACTATACTCCCAGGCCACTTTCCCAGTTGTGACTGTTTTGGTGTGTGTGTGTGTGTTGGTATTGGAGCTTGAACTAGACTAGGCCTGAGTGCTGTCCCTTACTATTTTTTTGCTCAAGGCTGGTTACTCTACCACTTGAGTCACACCTCCCAATTCTGGCTTGTTGATGGTTAACTGGAGATGTGTCTTATTTATTTTCCTGTCTGGGCTGTTTTTGAACCCTGAACCTTAGATCTCAGCCTCCCGAGTAATGAGTATTATAGGCTACCCTCTTGTTGTTAGTTTTTGAGACAGGACCTTCCTACTACTTCATCTGGGCTTGCCTCATACTCTGGATCCTCCTGTCACTGTCTCCACCCCCAAAGTGGATGGGATGGACTAGTGTTTGTCACCATACTCAGCTTATCCATTTTTTTTTACAATAGCCTATGTAGTAGACAGCTGAGTTATGTAAAAAAAAATTTGATCCTAGGCTGTTCTCAAACTTCAGAACCTCTGCCTCAGATTCCCCAGTATTGTGATTATGGGCACCGACTACCATTTGGCCTGCAAATATATGAAAATTAATCACACAAGAAAAATGAGGCTCAGAAAGATTTAAGTGATTTTTCCCAGTATCACATATGAAAATAAGCTACTCAGAGCTGAAATTGGTAGTGATGCAATTCAGTCTCAGGGGCTTTGACTAGGTAAAAATTGGAGAACCTCAAGATGTATGAATTCTGTATCTCTATCCTACCGTATGCTATTAAACCAAATTATTTTCCTCTGATCTCTTATTTAACAGGAATATAATATGTAAAGAAATTGAATTTAACACCGAATCTACAAGTTTTACAAAATTTAAAAAAGCCATGAATTTTAAAAGAAAACCGTTAGCGGTGCAAATGCACATTCTCTGGTTTACTGAATGCATTCTGAAGGACAGCTCTTTGGTTTCTATCCCCTATCTTTGAGGAATGGATGGAGGAGCAGTGCAAGGGAAGGCTGGCTGGCGAGCGAGGGCCGGGATGGGAGGCCGCAGCGGGCTCACCTCTATGGTAGGGTCATACTCATCCACGAAGTGGTTCTGGATCAGCTGGATGGTCAGCGCGCTCTTCCCAACGCCACCTGCTCCGACCACCACCAGTTTGTACTCGGTCATTTCACACCGGCCAGCACCTGCAGGCGGGCAGCGGTGAGGGGCCGCTCGCGCCGTGTTTCAGACACGCAGCGCCGTCCATGACTCGGTGGCCGGTCCCCGAGGAGGCCCGCATAGCAGGGCCGCGGGCGGGCTCAGGCCTCGGTCCCCCGTGATAACCCACCCCAGCCCGGGCCTCGGTCCCCCGTGACAGCCCACCCCGGTCCCGGCCTCAGAACCCAGGACAGCCCACCCCGGCCCGGCCAGGCCCTCTGTCCCCAGGGACAGCCCCACCCTCGGCGTCGCCCATCCGCGGCCCCGCCCGCCTTCTCTCAGCCTGCTGGACCCCTTGGCTGCCTCGCGAGCCCGGGGCCTTTGTCCAGAGCTCGGCCCCGAAGGTGCCCCGCCCAACCATCCTGCCCGCCCGCCCGCCCGCCGAGCCCCCCACAGCCTTACCGCCAGCCCCGCCGACCCGGCCACCCGCGGACCTAGGACTTCACCCGGGAGAAGAGCCGGAGACCCCGGAACCGCCATGAACAGCCCCCGCCCGGGAGCAGCACTTCCGGCCCCGCCCGCTACGCAATCCGCCTGCGCCGGGCGCGCCAGGGCCACGCGGGCGGAGCCGGGGTCACGCGCCTACCCGGCCTCGCCCCAATAATGGAAGCCGGGGTGCCAGAGTCAAAAACTGAGTACAACTTTATTGGCTCTCGTCCGCCGCTGACAGCACCGCAGACTGCGAGGCGCTTACTAACACCAAGGCCTCCAGGCCTCCGAGGCCTCTCCCGCGCGCGGCCCGCAGCCGGCCGGCGCCCTGGGCAGTCACCGGACACCGCAGCCCGGCAGACACAAAACAAACAGCATTCGTTTCAGGCACAACTTTTTTATTTTTTTTTTTCCGTTTTGTTTTTAAATCAGTAAAAGAAACTGGGCCCTAGAAGCTGCAGTGATCTAAGCAGCAGCAGGTTTGTGCATTTGTCCTTTTTTTTGTTTTTTGTTTATATATATTATCACACTGCTGGCACACTTTATTTGCATGAAATTCTGCACCATATATACTAATTGTAGTAAAGTTATTTAACCCCAATCTCGGGGTGGGAGGGACCTATTCTGGAAGATAATTTTCACTGAAATCTAATCAAACTGTTAAATGGATTGTGACAAGATTATAAATGATATGAAAAATAACATTTTAACATTTGGCCATCAACTTAAGAAAATGGGTTGCTATAGAAATTTTTTGCAATTTTAAAAGGTAATATATTCTACCCTCATTAGGGTCCTCAGAGTTAAAGCATAATGAACAGGAAAGAAAAGAATGCAACTGAGTGCCAAGGCCAACACCGTGCCAGAGGTCATGAGGGTAGAGTACAAGTGCAGAATTTCATAGGGCCAACAAGACAACAGTCTATTTTCCCTTACTCAGGCCACGTGAATTTTGCAATTACCAGTTGCGTTAAATGCACCAAATAAAGCTCCTAAAATTGATACTATAAGGCGCCACCTTAAGTTTTCCAGGCTGCAACTGTGCATAATTTTAAAATGGTTTCTTAAATTTATTTATTTTTTTAAACATAACACGAGGAAGGTGTTAAAACTGGTGTAATAGCTCAATAGAATAAGTATTCCAGATTTTGGGAGGGATGAAGAGGGAGATATTCAGAACCCTTCACCAGAATCCCCCCAACTTGATCATAGTGGATTAATGATGTGCTCTGTGGATGTGCTTAGTCAATGACACCAGCTTGACGGATCTTTCTTTCTGCACCAAATCCCTGTGAAGAAATAAAACTAATTAATGACCTGAGTATATATCTATTATAATATGTTCATGATCCCAGTAGGAACTATTTTTAGCCATCACATCTATTACCAATTTTTCTTACAGGAGTTAATCTTGGAAGCCTTCCTAACAAAGAATCACCATTATGTTAAGTGTTAAGGACTGCAACATGGGCAGGGAGTTCTAATCAGTTATGAGCATCTCTGAAAATCTGTTTTTTACCCCGTACTGAACAAGATTGGGTGGAGCATGCTGGTCTATTGGTCTGGTTCCCTCATGCCTTGTGTGCATGGAGGCATACCATTGAGTTATCTGGTCCCCTGGGCTGACGAAGAACCATTAGGCGAGGAGCACTGGCATCATCCAGAGTGATGTTCTTCAAGCGATTGACCAATCGATCAGGCCGAGGAGCTGCTACTGCCTTGGGGCCCTCGCTGTAACCAAACCAAGAAACAAGATCAGTACTGTGGGAAGAAACCAAGTACCTGTCCAATGTGTTTGCTGCTATGACTCACTTTTAATGAGCTTGCCTCACCTAGACTGCCAGCCAGACAAGACAGACAAGTTTATGTTTTCCCAACTCAAAGTTCCAACTGCATAAGAGCTACAAAAATCATTTTAGTGAGGGTCCATGCTAGACTTGTCTGCCACCAGAAAGACCAGTTCCACAGATACATGACTATGGTAGTGTTTTAAGCAGCAAGTATCTTAGAAAAAAATGGCTTAATAAAAATAAAGGAGCTAATAAACAAATTTTTTAAAAATAAAGAGCACAAAAAATAAAGAGTACAAATGTTTTTACATTTAACATCTAACAGAACTAGCACCATATGTCATTGAGGACCATTTCATGAGGCTAAAGGTCATATAATCAAGAGCAGAGAAAAAGCCAAGAATCCAAACCAGCTTTAGAAAATTAATCTGGCCATGGAGAAACTAGAGAAGAGATAGCCCAGAGTGAACACTGATCCACTGATCCAAACACAAGTACAAGGCAACTCACCAGACTCTCCAGACATTACAGGCACTGCACTTGCCGGTGCGCTGGTTCAGAATCACTGAGAACTCCACCTCGTCTCCTGCCTGTAGCTCAATGCCATCCTGAACTTCTTTCACATGAAAAAAGAGCTTCTTACTATCTCCTACTTCATAGTTAATGAAGCCAAACTGGAAAACAAAACAGCAGGTCACAAGGGGGGACAGACTACAGGCAAAACCAAAATAACACTTCACTGTTACACAAAGCACAATGCCTAATCCACACCAGAAAGGAGACTTATAAATCACAGTATTAGCAGCTGGGCTCAGTGGCTCTCACCAATACCCAGAGCAAGTTGGAGGCAGAGATGGGGAGGGTGATGATCAAGACAAGTCTAGGCAAAAAGTTAGTGAAAACTCCTATCAATAAACAAGTGGGGGGAGGGGGGCTGCGAAGGTGGCTCAGAGGTAGAGCGCTTGCCTTGCATGCCTGAGGCACTGGGTTCGATTCCTTAGCACCACCTAAGCAAAAAGAAAAAAGCCAGAAGTGGCGCTGTGGTTCAAGCTGTAGAGTGCTAGCCTTGAGCTGAAGAGCTGAGGGATAGCACCCAGTCCCAGAGTTCAGGCCCCACGACCGGACCCAAAAAAAAATAAAATAAAAAATAAACAAGTGTGGTGGTGCATGCCACCTTTAATAACAGCTCCTAGGGCAACAGAGGAAGGAAGATATGGGTCCAAGGATGACCCTGGCAAAAAAACAGGAGAACATGGTACAACCCCTGCTTTCATTATATATGATGTTGGTATATGTGGAGGGGAAGAGAAAAAACAAATTGTTAAAACAGGGATACAGGAGGACCCATTGCAACAATGAGATGTACAAGTCGTTATGTCGAAAAACGAACTTTACAACTTTGGTGGTGGGGGGGGATGAGGGACGGGGGGAGGATACAAAAGGACGGGAAGGGGAAACAAAGCAGGAGGCTACAATGCTTGATAAGAAATGTGCTCATTATCTTACCCACGTAATTGTAACCCCTCTGTACAGTATTTTCACAATAAAAATATATTAAAAAAAAAAAAAGAATGATTCCCATTGCTGCAATATCAAATCCTCTGCTCTGTGAAAAAGGTTGCATGAATATTTGTATAATTTCTTTATCATAAAGTTCTCTCAAAATTTATGAAAGATTTAAAAAAAAAAAAAAACAGGAACATACTAAAACTTAACTAAAGAAAAAAAGACAAGGTCCTGAGTTCAAACTCCAGAACCAAACAACTTCCCCCCTCAAACCCTAATACTAATACTGGTGGCTCTAGTTTTTATGGGAAAATTTTTCAGGGAAGAAAAACTTCTGAAATCCCTGCCATTCATTATGTTATTAGCTTGATGGAAACTAATGAAGGTGGCCCTGTTCCATATTATGAAATAAGCAAGAACACTAGGACTATTACTTGAACAAAAGAATCATTTTGATTCCATCGAGAATCATTAAGCTGGTTATTATATACTAGGTGACACCCAAGGATTTTTCTGAGATCTCAGTAACTACACTAGTTTTATTTGCCCTACATGTATTTCCTGACCACTTCTCAACAATGTGTGATCCACTACTCCATTAACATTACTCATTAATGACAATCACTGTTAATAGGGTTACTTTTTCCCTTATTACTTCTTCCTATTTTTATAAAGCTACCCCAAATCACTGAGAAGGAACTAAGTGCTTGCTTTGGCAGCACATACACACAAATTTGTTCAGCATTCTTTATTTTTCATATAGAAATGTACTTATTACCTTACTTATACAATGCCTCTGGTACAACACCTTTACAGTGAATTTTTTTAAAAAAAGGAATTCAGTCAAAATGAAAGAAAATCAATGGATGTTGATTCCTTCTGGGCTGAATAAAATGTCAAGTTTTTGGGTATCCACAGGGAAGTAGTAAGTCTAGAAGGAATGCTGTCCAGATGCTGCACCCACCTGATCTTTCACACACTCCACGGTGGCCCTACGCAGTGGTGTGATATTGTAGGCCATAGTCTGAGCATTCTGGCCCAGAACACACAACTGGAACTTGACACTCTCCCCTTTCTGCAGGCAGTCCCCTTTGTTGGCCATCCCAACTATGCCAAATGGATAGACCTCACCTTTCATGTCTCCTGCAAGAGAAAGACAAAGCATGAAAGCCAGTACTTTATAATACCTTCTTTGCTCACATTCACAAGACCATCTTCTTCCCGAGAACTCATTATGAACAACCACTGCAAAACACTTTTGTGGTGAACTGGACAGACTGACAACTAACCTTCTCATCTACTTTCTTTGTCAACCCAGCTCCCTCCCTCACTGGATCCTTCTTTCTACATTTGCACTTGCTCATAAACTTTTTCTTTACTTGGCAGTACTGGGAGGTTTGAATTCTGGGTTTCATGCTTAGTAGGCAAGCACTCTACCATTTGAGTCACACTTGCAGCACTTTTTGCTTTCATTTCTCAGACAGGATCTCAAAATTTTGCCCAGGGCCAACCAGGACTGTGATCATAGCTGGGAGATAGATCCAGCTTAGGTGTTGAGATGGTGTTTTGCTAAGCTTTTGCCCAACTGGACTCGAGTCTCACTCAGTCTTTCTAACCAGCTACTGAGTGGCCAGGATTGGCACTGGACCTGGCAATGTTTCAAGGGCAAGGTAAGTATTTCAGGCTGACAAGTCACCGGTCTGAGCCACTCACTTCTACTGCCGTAGTGAAAAAGAACCATATACAATATACTGTTAAAAAAGCCTTATTCCCCAAGTGTACAGTCTAAGAGCAGAAAATTGCCCAGAGGCTAGTAACACTGAGGCATTCCATTCAACTGCTCACCAGGTCAGACTTAAGAGAAATCCAACTGACTAAAAAAAGAAAAAAAAAAAAGCTTCAGAACTGGAAAGTTTTTAGCCTTCTTGACAATTTTTTGGTAAGATTTTTAACATGTAGGTACCAAAAAACACTTTTGATTTTCCAGCAGACCAAGTTATGAAGAAGAGTAATTAAAAATAAAAACACTCATATTGACAGAAAGAGGAGAGGGGAGAGGGAAGGAGGGAGGAGGGGGGGGAGAGAATATATGAGAATGAATGTGTGTATGCATGAAGGTCTTGGGGCTTGAACTCAGGACCTCATATTCTCACTTGACTTTTTTGCACAAGGCTAATGTTCTAGCACTTAAGCCACAGCTCTACTTCTGGCTCTTTGCTGGTTAACTGGAGATAAGTGTCTTATATATATATATATATATATTTTTTTTTTTTGGGGGTCCGGTAGAGGGCCTGAACTCTGGGCCTGGGCACTGTCCCTCAGCTCTTCAGCTCAAGGATAATGCTCTACCACTTGAGCCACAGCGCCACTTTCGGCTTTTTTTTTTTCCGGCTTATGTGGTGCTGAGGAATCGAACCCAGGGCCTCATGCATGCAAGGCAAGTGCTCTACCACTGAGCCACCTTCCCAGCCCGAGATAAGTGTCTTAAGGACTTTCCTGTTGAGGGTAGATTTGAATGGCCATCCTCAGATCTCAGTCTCTTGAGTAGCTAGGGTAACAGGAGTGAGCCACTGGTGCCCAGCTCTGACTCAAAATTTTTGAAGAATTTTTTCTTTTCTTTCCTTTTTCTTTATGTTGGTCATGGGGCTTGAACTCTGGGTCAGGGTGCTAACCCTCAGCTCTTCAGCTCAAGGTTAGCACTCTATCACGTGAGGCATAGCACCACTTCCAGTTTTCTGGGTGGTTTATTAAGAGTCTCACGGGCAGGATAATATTTTCACTTTAAAGATGAAGAATTTGAGCTATATAGAAGTTACTTGTCTAAAGTTATATACTTAGGAAATGGTGTTCGGACTTAGCTCTGCTCAACTCAAAGTCTACACTGAATTACACTTGTACTAATTGTAAGAACTGTTTTCATAACTAAGAAACTAAGTGTCTGGACCCAGAAAACTGCTGACAGAGTTATGCTCCCAAACTTCCTTTCCCACAAAATTCTTTTTTTTTTTTTTGGTCCGGTCGTGGGGCCTGAACTCTGGGCCTGGGCGCTGTCCCTCAGCTCTTTAGCTCAAGGCTAGCACTCTACCACCTGAGCCACAGCGCCACTTCCAGCTTTTTTCTTATGTGGTGCTGAGGAATCGAACGCTCAGGCATGCAAGGCAAGCGCTCTACCACTGAGCCACCTTCCCAGCCCCTCCCACAAAATTCTTGCTCTGGACTATACCCTACAACCAGTGCTGAAGAGTTAGTTGAGTGGAGTGTAGATGAAAAAGGCTTAGGAAGGGTAAAGACTTGCTGTAAAGGCTTTGGATACTTGGTTTGTGTGTGTCAGATGGTGTGAGAGCTGTGTAAGGAACAGATTCCTAAAAAACCTCATGTGGAGGTGAAGAAACAGATAACCTTTGCATCTATTCAAGCATCATGTAACCCTGCTCCCCTAACATGCAGTGTTAACTCTATTGGCACTGACATGAGTTATGCACACCAATGGAGTAAGACGGCTCCAGAAGGGGGGTTCCTGAAGCCAGGGGAAGGCAAAGTGTGGAGTAAGGAGAGCCTGGCCTGGAACTGAGAAGGATCATCACAGAAGTCTAACTACTATGGGACAGATCCATTTTACAGAATGTAAAAGTATATATACAATTGAATAGCCATAAATATAACAGATGATTTTAAAGCAATATTCAAAATTATATGCATATCTTTTTTTTTTTTTTTTTTTGTCGGTCGTGGTGCTTGAACTCTGGGCCTGGGCGCTGTCCCTCAGCTCTTCAGCTCAAGGCTAGTGCTCTACCACTTGAGCTACAGCGCCACTTCCGGTTTTCTGGTGGTTTATTGGAGATAAGAGTCTCACGGTCTCTCCTGCCCGGGCTGGCTTTGAACCGTGATCCTCAGATCTCAGCCTCCTGAGTAGCTAGGATTACAGGCGTGAGCCACCAGGGCCCGGCTTATATGCATATCTTAATATATATGTATATAAATATTTTTTTGAAACAAGGATTTAAACATTTTAGAAAGATAGGGTTCAAGTAGGAGAGACAAGGAGGGGACCAACACTTCCTGCTCCCTATGAAGAAGGAAACAGCAGTTAGATTCCTTAGTGTAAGATTTTGTTGAGTATTTCCTAGCTGCTCATGTGTCAGCCATACATCCACCTACATAGTCATCTATCCCTAAGTTAAATGTATGATACCATTATTTCCAAAGAGTAGAAGAATAAAAGCCAAGCATGGAGGAAATAATCACTTTCTAATTCGGTGTCTAAGGAAACAATCTGCAGTGACCCAACCCACAGAACAATCCGGCAGTGCTCATCAGTAGAGGTACAGCTCAATTGTGTCTTACCCTCCTCCACAACCTCAATCATCCCTTGGTATTCAATCTGCGTGGGGTCAACCCCCCTCAGGGGGCGGATGACTTTACCAGAGTAGACGGTAGGGTCGGCCTCCTCAGTAATGCCGTTCACTACAAAACAAACCCAGACAAAGAGCTCACTCAGCAACTTCATTTCAACTCTTTCCAACAGTAGAAAATAGAGGGAAGGGCCCAGTTATCTGCCATTCTTCAAGTAGAAGGAGTCATATCGTTTGTCTATAATAATTGTTAGAAAATACTTAAATACTGCTATTTTTTGTTTTATTTTTTAACAATTCACTACATAGCTCAGGCTGGCCCTGACTTATGATACTCCTTGCCTTCTTGAATGCTGGAGTGGCAGGCATGGAGGGCACCCAACCCCCAAACCCCATTAACCTTAACTATTTCTACATTATCATTTAAATACTTGATGTAGTACTTGATGTACAGAGACAGCTTGCCTGAGAATCAACACATTTAAATGCTTGACATTATTACATAAACTCAGATCAGTTGAGGTACCAACAGGTAGGTATACAGGGAATCTTCATCCTTATTCATAACATGTATTACTATTTTTCCAAAGAAACTGCTCAATGAAGGTAGGATGTCTTGACTTGGTCACTATTGTCTATCTCTCTAATGTTTATATATATATTTGTGGAATCAAAATCCCAGCTATCTTTTAAACAAGCCTCACCCAAAGACCAAGTCTTTGGGAAGTACAGATGAAAATCAACACTTAGGTCTTTAAAAAATTAGGACACCAGGCTGAGGATGTAGTTCAGTGGTAGAGTGCTTGCTTGACATGCACAAGGCCCTGGGCTCCATCCCCAGCACAAGAAAATGAACAAAAACCAGATTTCCCAGAGCTAGGCTAGCAGAGCTCAGTGAGAATTTACTTTGACAGAGGACACTGTTAGGTTCCCAGCACTGGGGGATGGGTGGGTATTGAGACTGAAATAATCATCATTTTCTTTATTCCCCTTAATTATCCAACTTTTTCTTTGGGGAGGGGCACACAGAAACAGGGATGGAACCCAGGGCACTGTGAATCTTAGGAAAGCACTATAACTGACCTATTCTCCCAGGCCATATATTTCACAACTAGACTCAAATTTTTAAGTAGTCTACCATGCAATGCTTCTCTACTTAACCATACATATTGTATGCATGTATATTTATCTATTAGTTTGAGTTAATGTCTGTCTTGGGGTCCGAACTCAGGGCGTGGAGGCTAGCTTACCTTTTCACTCTAAAGTACCATTTTAGTCATAATTTCACTTCTAGTTTTTTGCTGTTATATGAACATAAATTTCCTGCCTTAGTTGGCTTCATATAGAGATCCTCTGAGGAGCTAGGATTATAGGCATAAGGCATGAGTGCCAGCCTAGTTATTTATTTTGCCAGTTTTGGGGCTTGACCTCTGTGCCTGTACGCTGTTCCTGAGTGAACCACTCGAACACTACAGCACCACTTCTGGTTTTCTGGTAGTTAACTGGAGCTAAGTCTCAGGGACTTTCCTGCCCAGGCTGGCTTTGAACTGCGATCCTCAGATCTCAGGCCTCTCAAGCAGCTAGGATTACAGGCCTGAGCCACTGGCGCCTGGCCTAGAGTTATTTTTTTAAAGAGATGTTTCATGCAAATAATGTAAACTATTTAGAACCCTGGCCCTCCAATGTCAGTAGTTTTAGGGTAGGGCAAGCATGTAGCTTGTGCCATTTATCTGGGGTTCACATTTGTATGGTCCTCTCACCCGCCCTCATCTTCCACTCAGAGCACAGGCTGAATAAGAAGACAGCATAGCATCCATTACCTGAGTGAGTTTTGTTTACTTTCTCAGCACTGACTTTGTTGCCTTTGCCTTTGGACAAGCTGTATTCAACCATGTCCCCCAGTTCCAGGCTATCGACATCACCAGAGAATTCACTGAGGGGAGAAGAAATGACATTTAAGCCCTTACCAGAACACCATCAGTAACACACAAGTTTTTTTGTTTTGGTTAATTGTGGGGTTTAAACTTGGAGCATGGATGCTGTCCCTTAGCTCTTTTGCTTAAAGCTTAGTGCTTTACTACTTTGAGCCACAGCGCCACTTCCAGTTTTCTGTTAGTTAATTGGAGATAAGAATCTCACGGACTTTCTGGCCCAGGCTGGCTTTGAACCACGATCCTCAGATCTCAGCTTTCTGAGTAGCTGGGATTATAAGTGTGACCCACCAATACCTGGTACAAATGGCTTTTATTTCTTCTGTTTTAAACGCTCATGGAATGTCTACTTACATTGCACATTAAGTACTTCATTTATATTGACTCACCGATTCCTAAACATACCTTGTGATGAGGAAGGGTTCTCATTACCTCTAGCTTCAAAATAATGAACTAGGACACTACAAAGTCAACTCAGTAAAATTTATACATAGTGACAAGATGTGGTCTCAAAACTGAACTGTGTGGTTCTAAGAAGCTACACTTGCAACTAGTATGCTATACTATACCTCTGTGCAGTAGTAAGTATGCCATACTGTACATCTGTGTATAAATAGTATCCACTCTCTGGTACCAACATCCAGAGTAAAACAAAGTTCTCTTATTGAAGCAATGTTTCAAGAAGGCACAGGGCCTTTCTATATCTTCTGGTTACATGTTTTCTACATAGAGGTAGCATGTGCATATGTATATGTATGTTATACAGTTTTACCAACATGAAATCTGAGTTTGAAACATTATAACTAACAAAAAAAATCATTAAAAACAAAACAAAAGCCAATTTTTAAAAACTTGAATGTGGGCTGGGAAGGTGGCTCAGTGGTAGAGCACTTGACTTGCATGCATGAGGCCCTGGGTTCGATTCCTCAGCACCACATAAACAGAAAAAAAAAAAGCCAGAAGTGGTGCTGTGGCTTAAGTGGTAGAGCGCTAGCTTTGAGCTGAAGAGCTCAGGGACAGCGCCCAGGTCCAGAGGTCAGGCCCTCGACTGGAAACCCCCCCCCCCCAAAAAAAAAAAAATGGAATGCAAGAAAGAATGGATAGAAAGCAACAAGTACCTAAAAGACAATCCTTACCTGTAATGGAAAAAGATCTCCTTATCATGATTGGCTGTTTCAATGAATCCAAAATTATCTTTCAGAGTTGCCACATAACCCAAGAGCCTTTTGGAGCTAGAATTACGACCCAGAAGTCGCACACAAGTTGCAATCTGCTGTCCAGGCCTCTGTTTGTCACTAATACTAAATTCAACCTGTGAAAAAACAAAGATGACAATATCATAATCACTGCCATGCCAAGCTCCCTAACTCTGAAGAGTAAAGAGAAAACTCCTCCACATCGTGCTTCCTACTCCATGTAATTATGCTGATAATAAAAGATTTTTCACCAAGACTTAACACAAAGGACTAAGTTTTACCCTCCAGTGTGTTCCTTGTATTGTCATAGTTCCATAAAGGAAAATAAGATGTAGTATGAGAAAAAGAAACAGTATTGTAACAATTTTTGGTATAATTTGCTTTGGTAAAATTACAGTAACCTAATTTCATCTAAGCTAATGGATTTAAGCATATCCAAACAATACTTAAATAAATAAGGAAAACACACCTTTTTGAGGATAATGATGAAAGGGGTGGCACTCATCAAGATGCACTGTACTCATAAACTGACTTGTTAAATAGTAACTCTTATGAACAATGAGACTTAAAGATAGAAATGTAAATTTAAAAACTTTTAGGGAAGAGCTTGCTAGATCCTGTTTTAACAGTATGAGCTGCTTTGCCAAAGGAAAATAATTTAAACCTGTTAAAAACGAAAATTACTTAAGTGCAAAAATTACTTCATCAAACCTGGGTATCATTTATGCATGACCTAAAAGAAGCAAAATTATCTTGCCTTATCTCCTACTTGAGGAGAGGTGGATCCTTCCACATCCTTGGCTTGGAAAGCAATGGTCAGCCTTACCCCACAGTCATCATAAGCAATGATGCCATCCTCAGCCTCCTGAGAAAAAACAATGGGAAGAGCCTCAAGAACAAAAAAAAGCAACATTAAAAAGCAACTATGGAAGGAGAATGCAGTGATGAAAGTGGTGGTATCAATCAAGATGCTCTGTACTTATAAACTGATTTGTTGAATTGGTAACCCCTTTGTACAACTACCTAAAGAAAATGTAATCTAAAAAAGCAACTAAGGAATCTTAAAAGAGATTTCTGAGTCAATGAAATGGCAGAGCAACAGAAACTCTTTATGTAGGGCTCTCTAAACAGAAACAAGATCAATCACACAAATGAAAGGTGGTTGTGCTATACTCCAGACTAGCTCAATGTGATGTCCCTGGGTCCTGCCGATGAGGGACTCTCATTCTTTATTATCTATACAGTAGTACCTACAGTACAGAGTTTTTTTTACTGTCAACACATAATTTACCAACCCATGAGAACTTGTCATAATATCTTCAATTCAAAGCATGACACAAAGGTGATTAAGTTATGACGTACCAATATTTTCTACAGTAACACTTAAAAAGTTCAGCTGCATCATATAGAAAGACAACAGACCAGTGACTGTAGAAATTGTCCCATTTCTATGGGGTGAGGTCCATTATCACTGATCTGATTTCCTTCCTAAGCTTCGGACAGCATTCCCAACTCTTACATATGCAAAGACAATTCCATTCCCCTCTTCAATTTACACTCTCCAGTAACTGCTTTTATAATAATTTATTAATATATACAGCTTACTTGGCATTTTGTACTATCAAACTGGTTATAGCAAAAACATCCATATAATTACTTCTTCCCTCACTTAAGTCTTAGGAAGTTCAATAAAACTTGACCAAAGCAAAGTCTGTACAATTGTTCCTAAGATGCTTATCTATTAGTCTAATCAACTGCCTGCCTGCACTAAGATTTGAACTCAGGGCCTTGAGCTTGCTTGGCTAACTGTAACACAGGGTTGCTATTCTACAATTGAACCACACTGTTAGACTGGTTTTTTGTTGGTTATTGAGATGGGATCTTGTGCAATTTTCTGCCCTGGCTGGCTAGGAATTGAGTACCTGGGTCTCAGTCTACTGGAGTGGCTAGGATTATGATAGGCCTAAGTACAGTGCTTGGCCTCAGTCATTTTATTGTCTACTATTCTAGTAGTTCTTGCTTGTCAATATGCAGTGTCTGTCTGTGTCTACATCATCTACCTTTCATTGTCCATTTCCTAATTCTCATCATCTTTGTTATTCATCCACATCTTGGTAGGCTTCAGACCAGTACTATTCTTTTTAGAAGGCATGCACCTGATACCATTCTCCAACAGAAAATCTTAAAAAAAAAAAAAAAAATATCCGGAGAGCAAGGTCTCAATTCAGGAGTAATAACTCCTAACCTAGACACAACCTGATTTCTCATCTTTTCCCCTACTTGTCTTCATCCAAACCAAAAAATAAACCATCATCTTCTTGTCATAACTAGTTAGCTGCTACTTTTTTTTTTTCTTTTTGGGTCTTGTCCTGGAGCCTGAACTCTGGGCCTGGGTGCTGTTCCTCAGCTCTTCAGCTCAAGGCTAGGGCTCTACCACTTGAGCCACAGCACCACTTCCAGTTTTTTTCTTTTTGCTTATGTGGTGCTGAGGAATCGAACCCAGGGCCTCAAGCATGCAAGGCAAGCGCTCTACCACTGAGCCACCTTCCCAGCCCCTTAGATGCTACTTTCTAAAGAAACCCTAAACTTTAAAAACCATTCTCAGCCCCTCTCCCTTGATTTTTAATCGTAAGATTTAAATTTTGTATCTTTTATTTTCATCTGGACCTGCAAAACTATGTATTTAAAAAAAATTTAGCTGGGCACTGGTGGCTCATGCCTGTAATCTTAGCTACTCAGGAGGCTGAGATCTAAGAATCAGTTTGAAGCCAGCCCAGGCAGAAAAGCCCATGAGACTCTTATGGCAATTAATTACTCAGAAAAAGCTGGAAGTGATTCTGTGGCACTAGTGGTACAGCACTAGCCTTGAGCAAAAAGAGGCTTAGGGACAGTACCTAGGCCCAGAGTTCAAGCCCCAAGATCAGAAGCAAACAAACACAAAATTGATGTATGGCTGGGTGCTGGTGGCTCATGCCTTTAATCCTAGCTTTTCAGGAAGACTTGAGATCTGAGGATAATGATTTGAAATTATCTGGGGCAAGAAAGCCTGAAAGGCTCTTATCTCCAATTAAGTACCAAAAAAAAAAAAAAAAAAAAGGGGGAAGTGAAGCTATGGTTCAAGTGGTAGAGCAACAGCCTTGAGCAAAATTAAAATTAGCTCGCCTAGCCCTGAGTTCAAGTGCTAGGAATGGCTTGTGCATTTTGGTGTTTGTTAGCTACACATAGTGATATTCACTGTGCAATTCTCATGACAGGCTTACAATGTGTTCTAACCTCTCTCTTCCCTCCTCCCGCCCCTCCGTAAAACAACTTGCAAAGCTTGACTGCTGCTTGTTCAGGTGCTCATAGTCCATCCCCCACCCCCTTCATGGCCCCACCCTTTTCTTTCCCCATCTGCCCCAAGTTCCTAGGTCAGAAGCTTTCAATGAGCTTCCTTATACTGTTTTCATATACACTGCAATGTATTTCAAAATTTGATTTATTCGTATGTAAGGCTTTCAATTCACTTTTACTTGAGAGGAGAAGATATCTTATACATCTTTGTTTCCTATATAGTGTATTTTTCAATAATGGAACTCAAATGTGACAAACTTAGTCCACCCAATTGGAGGTTTTAACTGCTTCTTAGAAATAAGTACACCATACTTTGGTCCCCAATCAGGGTAGATTTTTACCTTTCAAAGGATATTTAGCCACATCAGGCAAAACTGCCAGTTGCCAAAATGAAAAAAGTAGAAACCAAGAATACTATTAAATACCCCACTCTCTGTGGCAAAAAATTAACAATTCTTTTTTTTAGGTATGTGTGTGTGTAAATCATTATTATGATTGAAAGGAAAGAAAATGATAGGAGACAAATATTACAATTAAACATGAAACATTCTCTTGTAACCAATCATAACATACTTTGAATTTTTAAATGGTTATAGAAAAGAAAAAAATGTTCACATCATCAGTTCTAGAAAATTGATTTCTTTCCATCAACATATTTTATTTTAGTTCTATCAAAACTAAATGCCAAGTCTAAGGTACTACGGTTTGAGCTAGGCCTTCACAACTTAGTTTTTAAGTTAGAGGGTTTGAGAGGGTAAAGAGGGCTAACTAGAAGGTGAATAAACTATTGCCTGAGAATAAAATTTTTGCACATAGTTAACAGCCTTGCAAAACCTCTGGCCCACCAACTAATCACTATGAAATGGATTTTTGGGAGCTCTGAAATGCTACTTAATCCTAGCCAAAGACTCCTCCGAGAGAAGAATGAGCAATTCTGAAGTATCAATGATGGGAAAGCTAAGCAACTTTGCTCTGATTAATGTTGATAATATTTAATGATGAATTTTAATATTATAGGGAATTATTACCACAATATTCCACTACAATGTGTGTGTCTGTAACCAGGAGAACAAAGGCATCCTAAAAGCAGTCTAAATGCGTAAAATTTACCTTCTCTTTGCCTTTATTTGGGCTAGTGGTTTTTGGATTGGAAAAAGTGGCTTCTTTTTCTACAGTGCCCAGACACCGATGATCTGAATGGGAATGGAATGAAACCGTGCCCTTGGGAAGTTTTTTAATCCTAACAGCATGATTTCTTTGGGCAGAGAGCATATCCTACAAATGAGAAAACAAAGTTAAGCTTGAGCTGACAAAGGAAACATCCTAACTCCCCCCTGCCCGTTCTCCCCAGCATATCATAACCACCCCCACCGGTTCTCCCCAGCACATTATGAAACCCTGCCCTTCTCTCCAGCACCACTTACAGGAACCACAGTAAACTCGACTTCATCTGCAATATGGAGCTGGTTTCCATCTAGAATCTCACTGAAGTGGAAGAACATACGAGCATCACGGTCCACACACTTGATGAAGCCAAAACCATCTCGCATGGCAGCAATCACACCCTGAAACCCAAGGAACATTCTCACTGGTTGTGAAACTTGGTAAATCAACATTCAAGTTTGGAAGGACCTTCAAGTTAAATTCATAAGGATGGCTCTTAACAACCAGAATGCTGAATCTACATTTTATATACTTTTTTTCACTTAAATACAAGCTCACTGCTTCAATGAAGCAATTTCTAAGGTTCATTCAGATTTCAAATACTTACTGATAAACAGTTCACAAATCAATGGCAATTCTTGAGTCTACCTCAAAATTGATTTTGAGTTCAGGCACACTGGAAGGACTTACAATTTAAGTATGAAGCTGGGCACCATGCCTTATACCTGTAATCTTAGCTATTCAGGAGGCTGAGTTCTGAGGATCATGGTTCAAAGCCAGGCTGGGCAGCAAAGTCTGAGACTCCCCCCATACCCTCCCAGTCCTGGGAATTGAACTCAGGGCCTAGGCACTGTCCCTTAGTTTCTTTTGCTCAAGGCTAGTGCTCTACCTCTTGAGCCACAGTGCCACTTCTGGCTTTTTCTGTGTTATGTGGTCCTGATGAATGGAACCCAGGGTTCATGCATGCCAGGCAAGCACTCTAGGTTTGTCTCAGACCATGCTCAGCAGGGAGGCTGAGGCCCAGAAGGATGAAATGTGGTAGCAGCCTCTGATAGCAGAACCAGAGCTGGTCCAGCTCCTTACAGCCCCCACAAAGGGACTTAGGCATGCTGGGCAAGCACTCTACCACTAAGCCACATTCCAGCCCCTGTGAGACTCTTATCTCTAATTAACCACTAAAGAGCCAGAAGTGGAGATGTGGCCCAAGCCCTAAGACAGACAGACAGACAGACAGACAGACAGACAGACAGACAGACACAGAGACACAGACACACACACATACTTATGTGTAAAGAAAATATATAAAACCCCTTTCTCATATTTTCCCGAACTATCAGCTCTGTACCAAGAGTACCTGAAACATGGTAGACACTCAATGTTTATTAAAATAATGAACACAAATTACTACCAATCTGCCTATGAATTACATCTGAAACATGGTAGACACTCAATGGTTATTAAAATAATGAACACAAATTACTACCAATCTGCCTATGAATTACGTATTATTGCAGAGGTGGTTATTCTTTAATTTTGAACATGATATCAACAAAATATTCTGACATTGAATCCCTGTCAACATATACCATATTGTTCACCAGTCTCAGGCAAAAAGCTAAAATAAGAGCATAATCCCCAGCTGGCCATCAGTGGTTCATGCCTTTAATCCTAGGTACTCAGAAGGTTGCGCTGGCTATCAGTGGTTCATGCCTGTAATCCTAGATACTCAGGAGGATCTCAGTTCAAAGCCAGCCTGGGCAGGGCTGGAAAAGTCCCTGAGACTCTTCAATTAACTTGCAAAAAGAAAGAAGTAGAGTTATAGCTCAAGTGGTAGAGCACTAACTTTAAATACAAAAGATCAGGAATACAACTCAGGCCCTGAGTTCAAACCCCATAAATCTAGTGTTCACCACATATCATAAGGAATTGATTGGAGAAATCCAGTTTGTACAATAATGGGCTGAATGCTCTTCACTATTTCAAATACCTTAGCAATGATCCTGTCTAAATCTTTACTCTGAAAGCTTTTTTAACATCTATTTCCAAGATAACTGGCTGAGAGACAAGAAATCCAAATGAACTAAAATATCTATAGTTCTTAGCACCTTAACAATCTAATTTTAAGATGGCAACTGTCTTATAAAAGCTTTCAATTTAGTAGTACACATTTGAACCTAAAAACTGACTGAATAAGTTAGATATAAATCCAATAATATAACACTTACCATTTCTCTGGCTTCATTAGTGAATTGAAATGTATTTGAAAGAACTTCTATGTTGGTTGCTCGTTCTAATTTGTCACGTCGGTCTGTTGAAATATTAAACCTGACGTGGTCACCTTCCAGCAGAGTCACCTTGGATTTTGTATCTTTGTCCCCAAAAGGAAGTTCTTTAGGAATCACAAAGTCAACTTTGATTCGTCCTGGCAATGGGTCATTCTGATAAGAAGGAAAAACAGTTTTAGCAGACTACTATAGTTCCTAAAACAACAGAGCAAATCCATGTTACTTCTAATTCAGTTCCAAGGAGGAAGAAAAGGCGCTGACATTGGTCCAATTTGATAATCACCCCACACAACCACGGTGATCAACAGATTTCACTAAGCAGAAGCACTTTAGTTCTTAAATCCAAATTTCCTCAGAAATGAATCTATTATACATCTTCGTACCTCCCGGACAAAAGGAGAAATGGGGGAAAAGGCTAAGAGAAGGAAGAAACAAGTACCTATCTACAATTTAGTTCTGTAAGGTTGTCACTGATTTAGTCAATGCTTACTCTGGCCTCTTCTTATCACTCAGTTAAAACAGTCATTCATCTATCATTCACTAGTTTCTGCCTTGTTTTTGCAGTTAAGGACCAAGCACACAGCTGTTGGCTCAGTGATAGAGTGCTTGCCTTGCATGCGTGAGGCCCGGAGTTCCTCAGCACCACATAAACAGAAAAAGCCAGAAGTGGCGTTGTAGCTCAAATGGTAGAATGCTAGCCTGGAGCTGAAGAGCTGAGAGACAATGCCCACCCAGGCCCAGAGTTCAGGCACCATGACCCCCCCCCCCCCCAACACACCAAAAACCCAAAACCAAAACAAACAAAAACACAAAAAAACAAGCACAACAAGCTAGGTAAGAGATCTAGAGTTAATACTTATCACTAACCCATTATTTTCTTTTAGCTTAATGATACATTAAGACACTTATCATGAAATCAAATCAATCAAATGGAATAAAGTTCCAATGTATCTCCCCACATTATTCTGATTGTACTGATGCTGGGGAAAAGTTAACTTACCTGGTTTTTACTGGGTACTTTTGGGATAACTTTGGTTACAGTTCCTTCAAAATGTTCAATACTGATGTCTTCAAAAATGACTGTTCCTTGAGGCAATAGTCTGACATCTGTAGCAACTTCTTTACCCTAAGTTGTAAGGGATGGACCAAATCATTTTATGTGTTTCCCATTACTAATTGCAAAGAGCCAAAGATATTGTTAGTGAACTATCTTACATTTCTGTCCTTGATTGTGAATTCCACATCATCTCCAGGCTGTAAGGTTTCTAGGTCACCTTTAAATTCACTATAGTGAAAGAATATCTCTTTTACAACATCACCTCTTTCAATAAAGCCAAATGCCTCCTAAAATGGAATAAACCCAAGAACATTATTACCACTCATTATATTCATTTATGATTACAAGTTAGAAATCAATTAGCTTCATAAAACTATACTGTGGTCTAAACAAGATAAAATGGTAAGCCAAATATTAATATTAATGAAAGACTCATTTAAAAGAACACACAGCTGGGTGCTGGTGGCTCACACCTATAATCCTAGCTACTCAGAAGGTTGAGATCTAAAGATCCTGGTTTACAGCCAGCCTGGGTAGGACAGTATGTGAAACTCTGATCTCCAATTAAGTGGAACCTGGCTTAAAGTAGCACAGGCTGGCCTTAAGCTAAAAAAGCTCAGGGATATCATCCAGGGCTTGAGTTCTAGCCCCGTGATAGATAACACAAACAAAAAACCCATAGAATTAGCAACCAAAGAATTTTTTTTTTTTTTATTGTAAAGATACTATACAGAGGGTTACAGTTACATGAGTGAGGTAATGAGTACACTTCCTCTTGAACATTGTTACCCCCTCCATTGTTTTCCCCCTACCATCCCCTCCCTCCCTCCCTTCCCCGAGGTTCTTTTTTTTTTTTTTTGATTGTGATTAAGTGATTACATAATTTCAAAGTCACAAGTTCATTCTAACTTCCCTGGAGCAAATTGTCTACCACAGTCTGTAATATATAACAGTGTTCACATGTTATATACCATATTTGTGATCAGCAGCATGGGGATATTTAGTAGTAGCAACCAAAGAATTTTAATGAAGTTTTGAGGTTAACATTAAAATGTGTTTTTTAAAAGCAGAAGACAGGAAAAAAAAATCTGAATTTGAAATAAAGACCTAAAGGAATAAACAAACAAATAGCAACAAAATATTCAATAAGAACCAAATTTGTTGGTACATACCTTCATGGCACAAACTACTCCCTGACAACGGGCTTGTTTCTTTTTCAACAGCATAATGTTTCGAGCACTTACAGCACCAGTGCTAGAAAAAAAAAAAAAATTGGGGGAGAACACCAAAGAGAAATGAACAATTCATGACTCAGTTAGGAATCATGAGAGTAAAAACAAGTTTCAGTTTTCAACATCTTAATTTTTTTACATGGCATCATAAGCAAAGGACTTCCTTGGCCTTCATACTGGATCACTTTTTTCTTTTCTTGGCAGTACTGTTGTTTATACGCAAGCCTCACATCTGCTGTGAAGGTATGATGACGCAGTACCGCTGAGCCATGCCTCCAGCCCTAGTTATTTTTAAGACAGGTTGTTGCTTCCTGCCTGGGCTCTGGCCTAGACTGTGACTTTAGGTGTCATGTCACACTTGGTGCACACGACCAAGTCCAGCTTTCCTTTCTCTCCAAGAAGGTAAACTTTCCATTTCTTCCCAGACTGGCCTAGAGCTCCAATTCTCCTGCTCTCAACCACCTAGGTAGACTGAGATGACAGGTTGCTGCTGTGCCCAGTCACGGTGTGCAAAGGATTCTTGAGAACTTTTCTGTCCGGGCTGGCCACAAACATCTACCCTCTCAATCTCAGCCTTCCATGGAACTAGGATTACAGGCATGAGCCACAGGCATCCAAGCAGATTTTTTTTGTTTAAACTTTATTCTTCGGTACAGTGTATCAAACTCTACTTTTCAAACAAAAGAACTGAAATAAATATGCAAATAGTACCACAGATGACAAACAGTAACTTTAGAATGTCATATATTTGCATGGTATATGCTGTCCACTAAGGTTCTGGTATATATGATACATAAAATGAGGGTCTCGGTTATCAATGAATGCTAAATTTAGTATTACCTCAATAATTATTTCTGATTAAACATCATTTAAAAAAAAGCAGAGGGTGGCAATGTGGCTTAGTGCTAGAGTGCTTACCTGGCACTGATGAAACCCTGGGTTCAATTCTTTAGTACCACAAAACAGAAAAAGCCGGAAGTGGTGCTGTGGCTCCACTGATAAGAGTGCTAACCTTGAACAAAAGAGGCTCAGGGACAGTGCCTAGGCCTTGAGTTCAAGCCCCAGGACTGGCAAAAAATAAAATAAATAAAATAATAAAAGCCCTGTACAAGCAAGGACTTTGGAGAAACTGCTATGCCACTACCACAGAAAGGAAATCCAGTGAAGAGACTACATTTCATACTATGCAATCTTTGAATAGCAGCAAAACAAACTCATTTTGTTTTAAAGATAGTATAGACTATAAAGACACAGAAGGGCTATTGGTATGGTTAAAGAGCTGTAGTTGACTGATTTTCCTAAACTCTTCATTTACAAGTGGACTTCACATACTAACAAAACCCAGAGAAACCTAATAGGGCCTTTGCAGCTTCCTGCAACGATTTCAATGTTTGCTATTTAAAAGTTGTGTGAATTCAGCTAACTAACTTTGTAAGATTTACACTTTACAGAAGAGGAAGTTTAGGCAACTATTCATGTGTGCTGGTACTGGGACTTCAACTCAGAACTTGGCTTTTTGCTCAAGGCTGGCACCCTACTTGAGCCACAGCTCCATTTCTAAAACTTAAGGATAACTCTCTTGTGAAGAATTAAATATAAAGTAGTATGTATGTAAAGCAGTATAAATGCTTGACATATAGAAGCAGTCAGCCCCCAAAGTGGCTTCCTGCTCATATGCATGTCCTATCCCTTTGTTTTCTATTTCAGACTATATATTTTAGTCCTCAGGCTGAAATTAACACCCACAGTTCACTTGGATTCTTTTCAGCATTCTAAGAGATATGATTCAAAGCAAATAATAACCCACAGATTCTTGAACTTTTCTTCCCATGTCCCGGTGAAAAGTGCATGCCTAGCAATCTGTAACTTTTTAACTTTTGTCTGTTTTCTGGGGCTGATGTGTAACTCAGGCCTATGTGAGCAGAGCTGCAGCTCCTGGGTGTTTGTTTGGTATTTTTTTTTAATTGTAAGAATACTGTACAGAAGAGTTACAGTGAATTACAAGAGTAAGGTAATGAGTACATTTCCTATCGTTTGTTTATCCCCAACCATCCCTTCCCTCCCCATCTCCCCAACTCCTCCCTGACCCACCCTCCAAAGTTGTAAGGTTGTTTTTTTAACATAAGCTCCTGTTTTTTTGGGGGGGATCCGATCCTGGGGCCTGAACTCTGGGCCTGGGCGCTGTTCCCTCAGCTCTTCTTCAGCTCAAGGCTAGCGCTCTAGCACTTGAGCCACAGCGCCACTTCCGGCTTTTTTCTTTTTTCTTATGTGGTGCTGAGAATCGAACCCAGGGCCTCATGCATGCAAGGCAAGCGCTCTACCACTGAGCCAGCTTCCCAGCCCCGCTCCTGTTTTATTGAGATTATGTTTTCCAGGGTGCCTCCAACTATCAATTCTTCTGCTTTTACAGGCCTGCTAAGACTGGCTCCAACTTCCTAACATTACCTCTCTTCTTGCTTCTCTAGTCTCTCACATTTTAAAATAAATATATTGCTGGATTTTCGCTTCAATTAGCTTGCTTATGTTAATGGTTCTATAACTATTTGTTTTGCTCATCAGTGGCTACCAGTCTCAGTGTTCTGTCTCATCCAACATTCATTCCCATCCAGACATCTTTTTCCACATGGACTACTTCCTCAGCCCATTCCCTTGCCCCATTAGGGTGGGCCAGGCCAGAAACAAAACAAAACAGCTTTGGGGATTCTTCATGTCAGCACCACCTCTCTAGACAACTATATTAAACTCGGTGATTGCACTTTCCCAGTGAGCTTCATATCTCTACCTCATCACCCTTGGCCTATCTGCGTTAGGCCCTCCCCTTTCATAACTCTCAATTAAACTGCTAGATCACCTCTGATCTAGAGCCTCCACTCTCCACAAGGCTAGACCACTGCCCAAGGCCTACACAATCGTACTTTCTTGTTCTTAGTCATTCAGACTGCTGTGAGCATGGCATAGTTCCTACAAAGACAATCAACTCTACCTCTGTCCAACTTTTAGCCATTTCCCTAAATATGCCACAATATTTCCTCCATCCCCACCAATGAATTCTCATTATCCTCCAAAACTATTTATAAAAAGCACTGCAATGTTTCTAAAGTCTTCACTGACCACTCAAACAGCTTGCAAAAGGACCATGTTCTGACACTGAACAATGCTTGGGAGAGAGCACTCAGAGACCCTCAAATCCTCGGCTGATGAATAAAAGTTTAAAACCTCATGAAGTGATTCAGATCTGCATGGTAGGTTTTAATCTCACTTCAAATTTCTTAATGTAAGAACGGCAAAATCACCTAGAGAGGAAGAATCTGAAAGGAACTTACTGTTTATTGTTATCAATTACGAAGTTTATTTTATCTCCTGTCTCCAGCTGAACATTCCCGTCAACATCTTCAGGGGTGTAGGTTAGGTAGAACACCTCCTGTGAAGGAACAGGTGGCCATTACCATTCTATCAGGATGTACGTGCACTGTATGCTGTGATTTACTTAAAGACTTCTACTGGCTGTGTAAAGCCGAATTTCTTAAAATGATATGCTTTATGACAAGCTGTTTTATTCATATGAACACACTTCCCCTCCATGGTGCTGATGACTTCTGTGAGTCCACAGCGGAGCAGCAATCCAGCTTCAAAAAGCGTTTGCCCAGAAACTGCAGTTACATTTTAAAAGGACAATTTTTATATAAAGGCATTCCAAACAAAAAAGCCGGAGTTAGTATTTAAAAGGAACCAGAAATAACTCCCTCCCGTACCCCTAAAAAAACAACTGAAAGGAGCATTTTACCTTAATGTCTAACTAAGGTCATACTTGGGCAAGCTAGCATACTTGGAAGCCCTATGGATGTTTTTCTTAAAAAAAAAAACAAAAAAACAAACTTAAAAAAAATTATGCTGCACTTGAAGCCTCTTAGAAACCAAACTTAAAACTGATTTTATCAACCTGCTTATGTGTTCTACTTTGAATTTTTAACGTACGCTTATAGACCACATGGTGGATCAGGCAAAGGTTTAAGAAAAATACACAAGTTTACCCCATTACGTTCGTAGCATACACTCCCTGTTGGACTCTGACCCGGGGCAGCTGGAGATTTACTCTCTAAGTTGTGAGGAACAGCGCACACAACCTACCAGTCAAAAAAAAAAAAATTTCCATTGCTAATCATTTCAGGAGCAGCACTGTGCAATATAAACTGAATTTAATATCCTCTATCCTACACACAGGGATGCATTCAACATGATCCACGAGAGGATGCCACGCTGCCAAGTTCCAAACCTACAGCACAGCAAACAGCCTGGAAGCACAGACTGAAGGGTCTGTGCAAAAACCCAAACTGTCCTGACCATATTTTTAATTCAGGTCAAGAAATGCCAGTGCTTCTGAAGTAATTTTAAACTAGTAATCTTTATATACACTATAGCTATCTTCCGTGCAAACTGAGGATATAGGGGAAAATCTTCCTTTGCTAATGTGAAAGATATGCAAATGCAGGGCCCTAGGAACACACAAAGCATCAAAGACACTAACTTGTCCATTCATTCGTTCTTCAGGGTGGCTTTCTGGTTTTATCTTCACCAGTTTAATAGCAATGGGTTTCCCAGTCCGCCGGTCAGACGATACTTCAAATTCAACATCATCTAAAATGAAGAACATGTTATATTTGTTGGACTAGTGTTTGTAAATGCTATCTTCCAAGCTCCACTTAAGGTAACCCTGAAATTACCTAAGGGCTTAGCAGAAATGGAAACTCCAGACCTATGCAGAAACAAGCTTTGGGGATCAAGTTCAGAGACTATTTAACAAGCCTGCCTTGTAATTCTGACACATCAGAATTACAAAATGTTTCAGAACAACTGCCTCACACTTAGAAAGCCACTTTTTAAATCTTATTTTTCAGGAACTAACACGTACTACAAATGAGGCAAAATCAAACAAAATCCCATAGCCCTAGGCAAGTTTCTCTTTTAACCTCTCTGTACTTTAGTTTCCTTCTCTGTAAAATGAGAATTAAGTCTCAAACAGGACTGCTGGGAGGATTAACCACAATAACAGTCAATAGTATCTACTACACCAAATACTCATGTCAGCCACTATTTTAGCTCCTTTCCCCAAGGTGTTTTTGAAAAATAGACACCCCATTAACTAGTCCTTTAAAATTTCTAATCATCTATTGTAAAAATAAAAGGTTATCTTTTAGTCAATTAGTTTTTCACAACTCAAAGACACCATCATAATAGAAATTAGGGCTCTGCCATACATACATACTTCAGTAACTGGTACAGCTAAAGAGCCACACTATTTCTTAAAACACTTTTAGAATAGCACTCTCATGACCAAGATGACACACAAGAGAAATTGTAGAGGAAAATGACAGATTACCTCCTACTTTTAGGTCCTGCAGGTTGCCATTATATTGTGAACAGTGGAAGAAAAGTCTAGCTTGACGTTCTGAACACTGAATAAATCCATAAGAGGTTAACAGTTTTTCAATAACCCCCGTTTCGCGCAGTGCTGCTGAAGTACCATTGGGGTACCCATTGTGTCCATTGTTGTGGAGAAGGTTTGGATCAAAGCTCATCTGTTTTAAAAATAAAAAGAACTCAATCTATACAGATCTGTCCATCATCTCCACAGAATACTAAGTCTGGTTAACAAATCACTAAATCTTCACTATAAAGAAGCAAAAAAGAAAAATATAAAAGGAAGATTGTGGGGCTTTTATTACTGAAATGTTAATTTAGTTAAACATTTCAGAGGACTCAAACTATTTTAGAGACTGTCCTCATTTATGGTAGAATTTTCACTTACCAGAAAAAAATAGAATTTCTGGAGAATGTTAAGGTGAAGCAATCATATTAGTAAAAGTTTCCTTTATGTTAATTTTAAATTACAAAAACAACAATCACAGAACAAAAGTTATTCAAAACATGGTCCCAAAAATCGACACTCTTCCTTGTCAGACTTAACACTTAGACACCTTAACACCACTTGGTAAGTCGTGCATCCTGAAGGTATGAAGTTAGTAGAGATTAACGCAATAAAACAAACTTCTCCACAATACTTAATTCAAACTAGGAAATTGTAATGAATTCTTAGGCCCTTAAAAACACAATCTGAAATTGTGAGTTAGAAAACTTGCAGACAAAATCCTCCAAGACAACAAAAGCCTGTCTAATCACATTCAATCATTTTACAAATACATTTTAAAATCTTTTGCCTGCTAGAAACTTTTCACTTTCCAGACACTGAGGAAATATCTGAAGTTATTTATTTGTATGGTCACTTTGTAAGATCTGGTAAAGCAGTGAAAAAAGAGCTATTTAAATGTGATACACTGGGACCCATTTAAGTTCAATACTATCACCTTGGATATTGCATCTTAAGTAAAATCATAAAAAAGGATAATTTTCTAAGTTTAAATGAAGCATAAAATAGAACAAAATCCTTAGCAAGGGTTTGGTGAATAATTGACTACAATAGCAGCACCTCCAAACCTTTATAATTGTTTAGGTCCTTGCATTGAAATTTGAATTGTGTTTCATTTAATGGAAATATTGGGCAACTGATGCTAACAAAAAGACTATTTTCACAGGGAAAAGCTATAGCCAAACTCTAGAAAGATGAGCCAAATAATGAGTACTTTAAAGGACTATGGACAGTAGGTTTGCCAAGTCTAGTCTACCACATTCCTAGTGGTTAATTCTTTCATTTTAGCCACTGTTGTTCAACATGTATTCCATTGTCACAGAAGCCCATAAGAAGTAATATGACACCATCTCCATTTTACTAATGAGGAAACAGCACAGAGAGGCTAAATAACTTGCCAAAATCAAATGGTAAAGGATACAAACCAAGAAGGTCTAACCTCCCCAGCATGGGCTGTAACCCAGGGCTTCTCAAATTTAGTCATGTGGTAATCTGGCTAGAACACAAAATGAGGTTTAGTGGGAGCAGGGCTTTGAGATCCTCCACTTTTGTCTCTAGTAAGTACAAAGGCGATACCGGTGCATCCCACTCTTGGACACATTTGGAGCAGCAAGATCCTAAATGCTAAAAGTCTAGGTGAAACAAAAATGCTGAGGGCAGTTATAAAGTTAGTCTAAAGGACATTTTGACCAGCCTGAGTAGCCCTAAGTCATGCTCTCAACACAAGCAAGACACACTGGGATCAACTGCTTTCCTGACTTACAGATCTCTGATACGAGGGGGTCTTCTTTTGTTTTTTAGTCCCAGATGAGGTAGAAGATGAAGATAAAGGTAAAGAAAGCGAAGGAGGGGCTGTAGAAGGGGGCTGAGAAGCTGATGACACAGTAAACATGCTCGCCATCTCAAATAGCTGTGTAACATAGCATAAGGTTTATAACTATTAACAACAGTTTAACACACATTTGGTATTCAACCATTATACTTTTTTAGATAAGGCCAATTTAGCAAAATATATCCAATCAGATCTATATTATGTAAGAAATACAAAATATTAACATTAAAAGTGAAAATGGAAAGGTTCTTTCAAATATACCAAACCATCTCTACTCATGTTATCTACAATTTTTAAGAGGCCTCAAGGACTCTGGTAGTTGATACCGTGAGACTCAACAACTTTAGAAATTTAACTTCATCACTGGTCTCCCAATAAGGTACATGGAGGTAATCCAAAGGGGTGTGAGAAGTAATAAACACATGGAGGTAAAACCAGTCTTGACACTTACTATGGCTTCGCAGTAGAGGTCTGATTCCCCCTGAACAGGCAGGCATCTCAAATGCTCACATCTCCTGTAACCTAGGTGTCTTTTTTTTGTCCTGGGGCTTCAACTCAGGGCCTGGGCACTGTCCCTGAGCTTCTTTTGCTCAAAGCTAGCACTCTACCACAGTGCCACTTCTGGCTTTTTCTGTGAGGAATGGAACCCAGGGCTTCATGCATGCTAGGCAAGCACTCTAACACTAAGCCACATTCCCAGTCCTACCTGTGTTCTAAAGAAACTGTAACATGCTGACAGCACAGATTTTGTTGCTCTCAAGATGTTACAGTTCAAATATGCCCAATTAAGTGGCCATATAAATTAGGACTCTAACTTAACTTTCTTCTCAAATAAGACAATGTAACCGATAATTACTAGTCAATCCCATTAAAACATGATAATCTGCCAGGAGCCATTGGTTCACACCAATATTCCTAACTCCTCAGAAGACTGAGATCTGAGGACTGAGGTTGAAAGCCAGCCATGGGCAGACAAATCTGAGACTCTTTATCTCCAATTTACCAGCAAAAAGATAAAATGCTATTGGCATTAAAGGAAGGAACCAGCAAGTAAACATTATTATTTATGAAGTTCTTAGCAGACTTCCCAGACTTAAAATAAACTGAAAAAAAAAAAAAAAAAAAAGGTATATGTACATGTGTGTATGTGTGTACTACAGTATAGACTTGGAGGTCACAGAATTGTTCAATACGCTCTGCCACTTAAGCCACTCTCTATCCTTGTTCAAGGGTTATTTTAAAGATCTTTGATTATATAAACATTACTACTGGTGGCTCAAGCCTGTAATCCCACTCAGGAAGCTGAGATCTGAGGATCATAGTTTTTTCTGTTTTTTTTTTTTTTGGGTCGGGTTGTAGGGCCTGAGCTCTGGGCCTGGGCCTGTCCCTCAGCTCTTCAGCTCAAGGATAGCGCACTACCACTTGAGCCATAGCACCACTTCAGGCTTTTTTCCCCCTGCTTATGTGGTGCTGAGGAATCGAACCCAGGGCATCATGCAAGCAAGGCAAGTGCTCTACCACTGAGCCACCTTCCCAGCCCTGTTTTTTAATTTTTTTAATGTCAGCCCCTGCAGGGAAGTCCCTGAGACTCTTATTCCCAGTGAAGTATGGGAAAACAGGAAGTGGCCCTGTGGCTTAAAGTAATAGAGTGCTACCCTTGAGTGAAAAGCTCAGGGAGAGCGCCCAGGTTTGGAGTTCATGCCCCACAGCCAATAAAACAAACAAAACAGAAGATTTATGCTTACCCAAAGGAAAATAAATGTTGATATATCAGTGAAGTGTGAATTTAAGTGAATCTGGAGAATTACCCAGAATATAAACTTAAGAGCTAGTACTTTTTGCTTAAGGCTAGTCCCTAGACATTCATTTATTGAATTATCAAAGGACAAATAAATGATTTTTGAAGATTTTTCATTAAACATTAAGATATAAATGCTTCTGGGGTTGGGAAGGTGGCTCAGTGGTAGAGCGCTTGCCTTGCATGCCTGAGGCCCTGGGTTCGATTCCTCAGTACCACATAAGAAAAAGAAAAAAGCTGGAAGTGGCACTGTGGCTCAAGTGGTAGAGCGCTAGCCTTGAGCTGAAGAGCTGAGGGACAGCGCCCAGGCCCAGGGTTCAGGCCCCACGACTGGACCAAAAAAAAAAAAGATAAGTTTCTAAGAGAAAAATAATTCCAATTTTGGCAATAACAAAAAACGAAATAAAGAAAATTAGTACTATTACACCAAAATCATAATTAGGAACAATCTGCCATGTATTTTATGCTAATACACTGGCATGGCATTTCTGAGATGCAGCATGTGACAAAGGACTAAGGCTGCTGCTCAGTGCTAATACCCTGCCTAGCATCCATAAGACCCCAAGCATCTTGGGGGTCTCCAGTCATGGTAAGTTATACAATGGCAAACAGTCATTAGAAAATACAGGTGCAGAGCTGGGTGCTGGTGGCTCACGCCTATAATTCTAGCTACTCAGGAGGCTGAGATTGGCAAAAAAGCGCAAAGTACAAGTGCAAATGTTTATGCTATAATAGGAAATAAAAACTATCCACACTGTATGATTTCAATTCAATGGAAAAGAATCCAGATGCGCCTCCATGACTCACTTCACTAAGCTAGAACCCCAGTGCTCTAGTAATGAACCAATCAGGACTATTTCAGCTTCTACTCACAAAAAGCAAATTCTTGAAACTTACCAAGTTTTAGTCTGTCTACCTCTTTCTACCTATGTACTCTCCCCCCACCCGAATCCTGGGGCTTGAACTCTGGGCCCTAGCCCTGTCTCTTAGCTTTTTTTGGTCAAGCAAGTGCTTTACCCACTTGAGTGGCAGCACCATTTCTGGGTTTCTTGAGTAGTTTATTGGAGATAAGAGTCTCATTGAGTTTCCTTCCCAGGAACTGGCTTCCAATCAGACCCTCAGATCTCAGCCTCTAGGCAGGATTACAGTTGAGAGCCACTGGCCCCCAGCTCTACTTCTTTATTTATAAAACTAGAAGCCATAAAAAGCAGAACTAGAAAGACTCTGAGGTCAATTTTAAGTTGACACTTGTCAAGGAATCAGCTTAAATTCTCTATAAAGAAGAGAAGCCTGGCTTTTAGTCCCAGTTCTCAAATACAATTACATTTCATTCAGAAACATTCCTCAAACGTAAAGCCAGAGCCTAAGCAGTCTCCAGGTTCCCTTGAAAAAACTCAGGTGTGTACTTTGTAACTTCCTGTAAAGCCCTCTGAGGAACAACCTATTCTAAACTAGACGACTTTCTTCTAAGGACAAGAAATTAGCTTACAAAGGGCAGCTTTAGAAAACTGCTCTGTATTCCTCAAACATCTTTCCTGAACTTCCAAGGTTCCTTTCAGCTTCCTGAATGCAATCATTTTTCACACTAACTGCTGAGGACTAAGTGGACTAAAGTTTTTTTTTTTTTTTTAACATACCATACTGCAGAAATCAGATTTTCTCTTCAAACTTTTTATTCTTTTGTTCCTAAGTAAAACACTATAACCTACTGTTTGAAACCCCTTTTGTTGGTTAACCTGGAGCTCCGATTAACATATTCATTTTAAATTAAGTTTTTGGTATTTCAATTATTCTCTGTCCTACATTAATAACCATCTCAGGAGTTGTTTATTATTATTATTATTATTATTGTGATTGTTGTTGTCAGTCATGAGGCCTGAACTCTGTGCCTGGGTGCTGTCACTCAGCTCTTCAGCTCAAGGCTAGTGCTCTACCACTTGAGCCACAGCGCCACTTCTGGCTTTTCTGCTTATGTGGTGCTGAGGAATCGAACCCAGGGCCTCATGCATGCAAAGCAACCACTCTACCACTGAATCACCTTCCCAGCCCTTGTTTTATTATTGAATGAGTTGATTCAAATAAAAAAAAAAAAAAAAACAAAATAAGTACTAATAAGCACTCACATAGTAATTAGGACTTTGCAAAAAAAGAAACAGGGCAAGTACAGAATTTGGTGACCTGAAGACCTTTCTAAAATCAATTAGTCATCTTTTAATAAATTATCCAAACTATATCTCAATGTACTATTATGAAACATTCTTATCAAATATCCTTACTGAACTATTGTTTTTGACTAAATGTTTTGTGTATTTTTAAAAGCTAGAGATGGAGAGAACACTGGCTTTAAAACTCTGGATATTTACAGTCTCTGGCGGCGCATATACCACTGTACACCACCCAGGAAACGTTCAAGTTACACTACACCTGATGACGCTAAGCTTCGTCTTCTGTAGGTCTCTGCTATGCCTTCAAGTATGAACACTCTTACCTGAAGAAGAGAAATTCAAGAACCACAGTAGAGATTTCCTAGCTTTGCTTGGAAATCTTTCAATTGTTTTCATCAAATCACTCACTAATGTCTATTTTGACAGGCTTAACATTTTTAATCAACCTTTTTTCCTACCCTCCCTCCTTTCCATTTTAGGGCCACTTCCATCTTTAAATCCTAATAGGTACTACTTTTCCCTATTTAAAAACATCCTCTTTTTTTTTTTTTAAAGCCAGGCATGGGTAGCTTATATCTGTAATCCTAGCTCCTCAAGGTTGAGACCTGAGGATCACAGTTTGAAGCCAGTACATGGAGGAAATCCAAGAGACTCTATTTCCAATGAACACACACACACACACACACACACACACACACACACACACACACACACACACACACACACACACACACACACACACACACACACACGCGCGCGCTAGCTCCTCAAGGTTGAGACCTGAGGATCACAGTTTGAAGCCAGTACATGGAGGAAATCCAAGAGACTCTATTTCCAATGAAACACACACACACACACACACACACACACACACACACACACACACACACACACACACACACCGCGCGCTAGCTCCTCAAGGTTGAGACCTGAGGATCACAGTTTGAAGCCAGTACATGGAGGAAATCCAAGAGACTCTATTTCCAATGAAACACACACACACACACACACACACACACACACACACACACACACGCGCACGCGCGCGCGCTGGAAATGGAGCTGTGGCTCAAGTGGTAAAAGCCACCAGCCAAAAGCTCAGGTATAGCATCCATGCCCTGAGTTCAAGCCTCAGAAGTAGTATAAAAACAAAACAATATCGTCTTTAAAACCTGGGGTTAGGAGGTAGCTGATTGCTCAGGCCTGTAATCCTAATATTCAGGAGGCTGAGATCTGAGGATGAGGATTACAGTTTGAAGCTAGCCAGGGCAGGAAAGTGACTTCTATATTTGACTTAAAAAAGAAAATGTCACTGGGTGCTGGTGGCTCATACCTGTAACCCTAACTACTCAGAAGGCCGAGTGAGAACTGAGGATCCCAGTTCAAAGCCAGCCAGAGTAGGAAAAGTCCATGACTTTTACCTCCAACTAACTACCAATAACCTGGAAGTGGAGCTGTGGCTCAAGTGGTAGAATAGTAGCCTTGACAGAAAAAGTCCTCAGGTTCAGGGTTCAAATCCCAGACACACTGACACAGAGACATACACCCCCCCACCCCACAAAAAAAAGTCTAGAAACTAATGATTAAAAGAAATTGTTCTGGGCTGGGAAAGTGGCTCAGTGGTAGAGCGCTTGCCTTGCATGCCTGAGGCCCTGGGTTCAATTCCTCAGCACCACATAAGCAAAAAGAAAAAAGCTGGAAGTGGCACTGTGGCTCAAGTGGTAGAGCGCTAGCCCTGAGCTGAAGAGCTGAGGGACAGCGCCCAGACCGAGTTCAGGCCCCATGACCAGACTCCCTCCCCCCCAAAAAAAGAAATTGTTCTTCATAATCCTAGCCCCATAATAAGCATTGTGTTTTAAGATTCTACCTAGTATAGTATCATCTTCTTATGAATTACATTTAAGTTTAAAGACGGATTTCTTTTCTTTTTTGGGTCCAGTCGTGGGGCCTGAACTCTGGGCCTGGGCGCTGTCCCTCAGCTCTTCATCTCAAGGCTAGCGCTCTACCACTTGAGCCACAGTGCCCCTTCCGCTTTTTTCTTTTCGCTTATGTGGCGCTTAGGAATCGAACCCAGGGCCTCATGCATGCAAAGTAAGGCTCTCTACCACTGAGCCACCTTCCCAGCCCCTGAATACGGATTTCTTGTTTCAACATTTCAGACCCAATCTATTTCTGTAAAGAGCAAAGGGTTTTATAGTTTGAATAACCAAGTCATTCTAACTTTATCTCCACATTCAATTGGTAACCAAGAGTCCTCTTACTGCAAGAATGAGAACAAAAACTCCTACTTGCTTCTCCATCTATACACTATCAATTATTTTCTTTAATCTATTTTTCTTTTAACCCATCTTCAATCTATCCTTCAAATATATTAAAGTGACCTCATTTTTAAAAAAACACTCAAGCCGGGCGCTGGTGGCTCACGCCTGTAATCCTAGCTACTCAGGAGGCTGAGATCTGAGGATCGCGGTTCAAAGCCAGCCCGGGCAGGAGAGATAGTGAGACTCCTATCTCTAATAAACCACCAGAAAACCAGAAGTGGCGCTGTAGCTCAAGTGGTAGAGCGCTCGCCTTGAGCTGAAGAGCTGAGGGTCAGCACCCAGGCCCAGAGTTCAAGCCCCGCGACCGACCAAAAAAAAAAAAAAAAAACACTCATTAATCCCTATTAACAACCTGGCTGTCCTACAGAATTTAGCCAAATATATTGATTGGGCTCTTCAAAAACTGGCACCAGTAGGCTCCCCAATCAATTATTCTTTCCATACCACAAAGCTGTCCTCTCTACTGTTCATAATTGGACTATTCAAGACATACCACATCTTTACAATAAAAAATAAAATAAAAAAATAAAGACAACCCACTTAAAGGAAAAAAAAAACATACCACATGCTCCCTACGCCTGGAATCTGCTAATTCTGTACCTCTACCACAAGATTCTTCTCTTAACAAAGTACTATGCATCTCCAGATGTCTTTCCCTCCAAGGCAACTGCTCTTCAGTCATATTATCATTTTGAGTTCTTTTCTTTCAGCATATATTAACCTGTGTCATTTTGTAACAAATTGCTCTAAATCCTAAGTCCATTAACACCATACCCATTCATACCTGTATTCTAGTGCTGGAAATGTTAGAAATATATCTATGCAGCTGGGCGTTGGTGGTTCACACTTGTAATCCTAGCTACCCAGGAGGCTAAGATCTGAGGATTGTGATTCAAAGCCAGCCTGGTCAGACTCTTATCTCCAATTAACCACTCAAAAACCAGAAGTGGCACTGTGGCTCAAGTGGTAGAGTGCTAGCCTTGAGCTGAAGATCTTGCTCAGGGACAGCACCCAGGCCCAGAGTTCAAGCCCAAAGACTGACCAAAAAAAGAAAAATATCTATGCAAACATTCATTCACAAAATATGCAATGAAGAATGCCAGCTAGTGGCAGCAAGGAAGGACTGAATGGCTCCTTCCTCAGGAAGAAGCTAGGCAGGGGTGAAGATAACTGCTGCTGTACCAAACATCATGTAGCTTTTAAATACGCTTGATACAAAGACCAGAATGGGCATGACTATTAGAAACTTTTAAAAATCACATCAACCAGCATGTACTGGTATTTTTGTGACAAATCCCTGTGTGGTCACAAATATTGTGTCTAACAAAAAACGAGTAGTTTTAGAACAGAAATGAACATTTTTATATATGACCAAATTCAGAACTCTGTAACTCTTAAAACTACAAGCCTACCTCGCAGTGATAATCAAATATTGCACTTTCAGTATCTGCTGATTCTTCCTTTTTCAGCACAAGTTTCAAAGGATGAAAGTTGCTAGTATTAAAAAAGAGCGAGAGAAAATGATCTACCAAGCTAATAACGAATACAACTGCTGCTGCACCGGGCAATCTCACAGCACAGCACTGAAGAAAACAAAGACTACTAGCAGCGTTGGGAAGTGCTCTTTCAAAGCTGTTGAGTAGGCACAAACTTCTTGTTTCAGATCAAGTGTTGTGTCTTCAACTTAGGTGTACTCTTCTTCTTTGGTCTTGTTGGTGGTTACGAGGTTTGTTCCTTGCCTGATCTGAACTTGAAGCAGCAGTTTCAGGTGGTAAAGTCTGTTCTGTTACACTTCATACTAAAGACAAAAAATAAGGACATTAAGGATGGTATACACAAGAGAATTGGTAACAGAGATAGGGAAGCAGGACAAACTCATTTAATTATCAAGAATGACTGGTACAGGGGCTGGGAAGGTGGCTCAGTGGTAGAGTGCTTGCCTTACATGCCTGAGGCCCTGGGTTCAATTCCTTAGCCCCACATAAGCAGAAAAAGCCAGAAGTGGTGCTGTGGCTCAAGTGGTAGGACACTAGCCTTGAGCTGAAGAGCTGAGGGACAGTACCCAGGCCTAGAGTTCAGGCCCACACCCACAAAAAAAAAAAAAAAAAAAAAGAATGGTGATATGCAGATCTCTGGCACCTGGCTGACAACTACCATTTTTTGGTAGTTGTCACATACTCAAGACCTCAAACTAGGTCCTTATTGACTTCTCACCCAGATCTCGCCCAAAGTTACAATCATAACATTTAACTTAGTTAAGGGTTTTGTAGACAGAATTTCTTCTTGTTGGTGTCCCCAACTGTGCTGAGTTACAACTGGAAGAAAACTGGCACCCAGGACAAAATGCCCCAAATTAATTTGTTGAGCTGAAATCTAAGTATCTACAACTAACATAGTATACTAGAAACTACTTATTACTTACTACTGCATAAGCACTAAAGCCACATGGTGATATCAGACAAGTAAAAAACAGAATTTAAACAGAATGGAGCTGGGCACCAGTGGCTCACGCCTGTAATCCTAGCCATGTAGGAGGCTGAGAAAGAGGCTGGCTGAGATCTGAGTACCACCGTTTGAGGCCAGCTAGAGCAAAAAAGTCCAGATACTCTTATCTTCAATAAACTTAGAAAAAGCTGTAAGCACTGGGCACTGGTGGCTCATGCCTAAAATCCTAGCTACTCAGATGGCTGAGATCTGAGTATCATGATTCAAAGCCAGCTGGGGCAGGAAAGTCCATGAGACTTATCTCTAATTAACCAAGAGAAAACTGGAAGTTGTGCTGTGGCTCAAGTGGTAGAGTGCTAGCCTTGAACACAAAGAGGCTTAGGTCCTAATGCCCAAGACCTGAGTTCAAAACCCAGGACTGGCAAAAGAAAAAAAAATTACACAGAATGCAACTGGAAAACCTGGTAGCATTTCTAAGAGAACCCAAACAGTATTTATTCTAGGCATGAAATATCCCACCTGCTCCTTGAGAATAGGATCCACACAGCCTGGCATCAAGTAAAGTTCTGTCTGAACGATGATAATAAGTGTGGCTTGTTTCAGAGGAACTCAGTAAAACAGCCTGGCTAGAGGAGATGGCTGGGTTATATGGTGTGACAGATGCAGAGGAGCCAGGTTTGGTGCATCACTTCTGGTTTTCTGGTGGTTAATTGGAGGTAAGAGTCTCAAGGACTTTTCAGCCTGGGGTTTGCTTTGAATCAGGATCCTCAGTTTTCAGCCTCCTGAGTAGCTAGGATTACAGGTACGAGCCACCAGCACCCAGTTGTGCTCAGTCTCTTGAGTTAAGACTTCCAGTCCTTTTTGCTCTGGTTATGTTTAAAAACAGGCTCTTGTCTTTTTGCCCTCACGCTAGTCTGGACTTCAACCCTATTTGCACTTCCTACCATAGCTGGAGTCCAGGCTCAGCCTGTACAGGCTCATGGGTGCAAAATGTCTTGACAAGCCGGTGCCGGTGGCTCACGCCTGTAATCCTAGCTACTCAGGAGGCCGAGATCTGAGGATCATGGTTCAAAGCCAGGTGGGGCAGAAAAGTACACGAGACTCTGATCTCCAATAAAACTACTAGAAAATTGGAAGTGGCACTGTGGCTCAAGAGGTAAAGCACTCACTTTGAGCTGAAGAGTGCAAGGACAGCGCCCAGGCACAGAGTTTAAGCCCCACGACGGACCAAAAAAGAAAAAAAAAGTCTTGGCAACTTTTTGTTCAGACTGGCCTCAAACCACAAATCTTCTTGTGTAGCTTGAATACAGGTGTGAGCCACCAGTACCCAGCAAATATTTTCCCCAAAAATGTATTTATTGATGAGAGATGAATACAAAACATATCTGCCAACTTCTAGTGTCCCCCCTGGCCATTCTTTCCCATAACACTACCAGAATGACCTACAGAAAAACTTTCATCAGGACATTGTTAACTCCAGAAAGCTGAAGTAGGATCCCTCGAGCCCAAGAGTTCAAAGCCAGCAACAGAGTTGAGGCCCTGTATCCAAAACAAAATCCTTCAGTGACTTTTCTCAGCACTCCAGATGGGAAGGGGTCTTAAATCCCAGCTATGGACAGGACCAATGCAACTTTCAATAAGAAACAAATACAAACCCATGAAACCTGAGATTCTGAATTTATTCCAATAGGTTAAATTTCAGTTTCTTTTTTTTTTTTTTGGGGGGGGGGGGGAGGTGGTAGTGGTGGTGGTGATAATGGGGCCTGAACTCAGGGCCTTGGCACTGTTTTCTTTGCTCAAGGATAGCACTCTATCACTTTGAGCTACAGCACCACTTCTGGTTTTCCGATGTTTAACTGGAGATAATAGTCTCATGGACTTTCCAACTCAGGCTGGCTTTGTGATCCTAAGATCTCAGACTCCTGAGTGGCTAGGATTGTAGGCGTGAGCTACCAAAGCCTAACCTAACCTAGGCATTTTCTTTACTTTCCTAAAATGTTTCTCACTTGTAGCCTGGATTAAGAACCACCACCATTCAAGGTAGTTTAAACCACTTTACCACTAAGCTACTCCACCCCAGCCCTGTCATCATTCTAATCCCTACTGATAAGCCAGCAGGATCTAGTGCCAACACCAATCTTTCGGGTACCAAACCATTTCTGCACTGTTTACTTCATGTTTATGTAACCTGTTCTAATTATATTTCAAATTTCTGAGAAGCAAACTTAAGTTATGCCCTGTACAACATCTGACCTAGTACTGCTCAGCAGCACAGCATAAACTAATAACGCACAATACACTAAAAGATGTCACAATTCTAACAACTGTATTAAGTCTTATCCAATCAAGATAGAAACTTCTTTAAGGACTGGAGGCATGGCCATTTGTAATAGATGACCATCTGCAAAGGTGAGGCTGAGTTCAGAACCCAAGTAATAATCTTTGAAAAATGTAGACTTAGTGTAATTTTACCTCAATACTTTAGGTCTGTTAACAGACACAAAGATGCGTGTACTGTATGAAAAAAAAAATCAAGAAAATGACATAAAATGTGGAGATTAACTCAATCTAGAGCTTACATAGAGCACTTTCCATGTTGTCTACTCAAACAATAAACTCAAGCACAACAGGGTGCTGCAGGGTAACAGAGAGGCCTAGGAGGGTTGTAAAACTGAAAATTTACCATCATGATTACCTAAGTAGGTAAATTCAGATCTTCCTATCTGAGATTTGTAAAGTTAATTCAATGTTTTCCAGTAAAATTAACACTGAAGATACTAAAGGTATTGGCCAGGCATTTAAAAGAAAACTGACCTTCTACTCATGCCAAGATTATTAACATTCAACTTCTTTTTGCCTTAGCCCTCTAAACAAACAAGCACCCCCCTTTGTGCCCTCCAAAGCTAGACAAAACCAAGAGTAGAGAAGTCTCCCTAGTTGCTAAGCATCAATTCCTTTTTCCTTTGCTCAGTATGGAAACAGTATTATTCATGATCAAACATTATGCTATGTTGTTTTAGGACTTGAGCTAATTTCTCTAGTTGAACTCCAAATGGTCAATCCCCATGGCATTTGTCCTAAAATTACCATTGGCTTGATTTTTCTTTAACTGTCTCTCCTTAAAGGCCTAGTCAACACAGCAAGCATTAATACAGGCTGAAACAATATTTATGGGATAAATGCTTCACAAAACCAGGCTTAATCATATCTGTATCTATCTATCTATATATATACACAATTTTTTTTTTTTGGTTCAGTACTGGAATTTGGAATTTGAACTCAGGGCTTAGGCACCGGTCTCTAAGTCTTTTTATCCCTAAGGCTAGTGCTACATCACTTGAGCCATGGCTTCATTCCAGCTTTTTTGGTGATTATCTGTAGTTATGTCTCATGGACTTTGCTGTCCAAGCTGCCTTCAAATCTTGATCCTCAGATCTCAGCCTCTTGAGTAGCTAAGATTACAAGAATGAGTCACCATGCCCAGCTCTTAGTTCCTATTTCTTGATACATTACTTTGTCTTAAGTGTAAGTAGAGCATATGTGCTGTAACTGATGTAAAAGGTTGTAATTTGCTTTTACTTAGGAATCTAAAATTAGATAAAGTTCAGATAAGTTATTACCAATTGTGTGGAAATAAAAAGCTTAAATTGATGCAACAATCTCTTTATGTATTTAGTAGGAACACTGTTACCTGAACATCTCCCTAATATACTTAAAATTATGAATCCACCATGGAACTTCTGCTACATACACACTAACTTGTAGGACAAATGGCCGTATGGGAAGAAGCCTCAGAAATGCTTCAGACACATCAGAAAATAAATGTGTCGTTCCAACAAGAATATAGATGGAGGGCTGGGAAGGTGGCTCAGTGGTAGAGTGCTTGCCTTGCATGCCTGAGGCCCGGGTTCGATTCCTCAGCACCACATAAGTAAAAAGAAAAAAGCTGGAAGTGACGCTGTGGCTCCAGTGGTAGAGCGCTAGCCTTGAGCTGAAGAGCTGAGGGACAGCGCCCAGGCCCAGAGTTCAGGCCCCACAACCGCCCCCCCCCAAAAAGAATATAGATGGAACTATGTTTGTAATTTAAAATTTTCTAGTAGCCAAGTTAAACTCAAAAGCAGACTGAAATTAATTTTAAATGCTTCATTTAACCAATCATACTCAAAATGTGATTGCCAAATGTAATCATTCTAAGAAACTTAAGATTCTTGCATATTGAAATCTGGTGTGTTATAATTACAATTTCAAAAGGAACTAGCCAAAATTTAAGTGCATAAGAGCCACATGAGATTTAACGGCTACCACAGGGGTAGTGTAAAGTGGAACAGACTGAATAGGGGAGGGGAATGCATGCCTAGGTACCAAAAAGTAAGGGTACTGGGCAGATTTCCACTAAAAATGGGAAGCAATTCTGGTACAAATTTGATCTCTGCGTTTTCAGTTATTTAGAAGTACAAGTAACTTGACTATGCACTACTAGTAGCTACAAAAGCAATGGGCAGTTTAAGTGTGCCTTGTGAGAAAACTGCCCATCAATTTACTCAATTTACTTTCAATTTCACATGAATGTTCTACTTCCATGTAAGAGGACACTAGAGCCAGGCACGGTAGGGCATACTTGTAATACCAGCACTAGCTCGGCTAAGACAGAAGGATCACAAGTTTCAGAGCACTAGGATTGTATAGTGAGTTCTATGTCTGGGCTACAGAGAAAGTTCCTGTTCAAATATAAACAAACGACTAACATGTCAGAATTTAGAGTCTTGTTTTGAACTAGTCATTAACACAAAGAAGTAAAAATTGTCGAGTTAAATGAGCACTTTTCAAACAGTGATGGGAGAAGGGCTTCATATTAAGACAAGATGGGCACTTAAGAAAACAAGTCATGCCTACTGTGTCTTAATGTAAGCCATTCTAGCTATTAAATCTTACAAAATATAATTTTTGATTTTTTTCAGTATAATAATTATTATGAGCACAGAAGCCCTGTGCTCTCAGAACTAGGGAGGCTGAGGAAAAAGAATGAATTCCAGGCCAGCCTGGGCTTCATAGTGAGACTGTATCTTAAAGGGGGAAGGTGGGACAAACAGGAAAATCATGGTTCAAGGACAGCCCAGGGGATAAAAAGTTAGTGACACCCTCCAACTCTACAAAAGAGGTTGGGAGTGAGGACTCACACCAGTTATCTCAAGGAGGATTAAGTAGGAGGGTCCAAGACTGAAGTTAGACCAAACAAATACAGTGAGCCTTTGGTTAGGAGGAAAGGAGTGACACAGTGCTTATAAACGGATTTGTTGAATGAAAACTATTTAAAGATAATAAAAATATAGTTGGGTGCCAGGGGCTCACACCTGCAATCCTAACTACTCAGGAGGCTGAGATCTGAGTATGGGGTTCAAAGCCAGCCCGGGCATGAAAGCCTGTGAGACTCTTCAAAAAACTACACAGAAAAAGACAGAAGTGCTGCTGTGCCTCAAGTAGTAGAGCACTACTCTTGAGCACAAAGTGGCTCAGGGATGGCAACCAGGCCCCGTGTTCAAGCCCCAGGAGTGACAAAAGGCAAGCCGGCCAGCCGGCAAGCCGGCCAGCCAGCCAGGTGCTCTACATCCTAGCTACTCAGGAGGCTGAGATCTGAGGATTAAGGTTGAAAGCCAGCACAGGTGGGAAAGCCTGCTAGACTCTCACCTTCAGTCAGCCACCAAAAAGCCACAAGTGGAGCTGTGGTTCAAGTGACAGAGCCCTAACCTGGAGCCAAGAGTTTTAGCCTATGCACATATATACATGTATATACACACATCTGTAGGTAAGTATAATTTACAAAAAAAAAAACCAAAACAAGAGCATATATGAAAAATAACCCAAAAAGAACTGGGGGTGTGGCCCAAATGTGAGGCTGAGTTGAAACCTCAGTACCACCAAATAAACCAGCCCAAATCCTTTTAATTTAGAGGAAGAAGTCAACACAGTATTTTCACTACGTAATCCAGGTTGGCCTCACAGACAAGGGTTTTCGGTCTCTAAAGTGCCAAGGATACAGGGGCCACCACGTCCATCTTTATCGGCTCTCCAAAGATCTATTGGATTAAACATCTCAAAATGGCTCAGTCCTTTTTTTTTTTTTTTTTTGGCCTTTTTGTTTTGTTATGCAATCCTACCATTGATCTATATCTAAAGTCCTCCCTTAGCGTTTTCAAAAGACAAAACTAAGAAGTTACAGCAGGTCTTTGTTTTTACTAACAACAATCTCAAGAACTGTATTTCATTTTGCAGTTCTGGAAGTCAACTAAAAAATTCACCCAAAAGGAATTTCCGTTTCACGTACATACATTTGGCAACCATAGCATTGCCAATCTACTTAATGTTAACCGATGGAACACTTAAAAAGGGTTAAAACTAAAATTTCCTTCATGTGTATTTTCCCACAATTTAAAAAAAAAAAAGAATACTGTGGTGGCGTTCCTTTAGCGGGGGGAGGGGAGCAGGAGTGGGAGAATACAGGAAAGCCTGTCAGCAGTTTTGACACTCTCCACTTTTATTTGCTAGGCATTTCCCAGGGTTTTCAACCATACTGATCTCAAAGGTCACACGTGTCAAGTCAGAGTTTATTTACAAAAGAGGAAAACCTATCTACCTATTTTCTGTCCCTCAAATACTTCACATTTCTACTCAGCTGCTATAAATACTCCTCGTGCGGGTCAGCATCCAGAGCAGCTGCAAAGGCGCTCCCACGACTCTGGGTCTTTTACCTCGGCGTGGGGACTAAGCAGCAGCCAGGGCGAACGCTGGCCTCGGTGCTGTGACTCGGGCACAGGCCCGCTCAGGCACACAGTTCCTTCCCTGGCTGGGCACGGCCCCGACAGCCGCTGAGTTCACAGCAGTAACCTGGAATCCACATTTGTAACGAGTGGCGACAGACCGTCAATTCACACTCGCCTAAAAAAACGAACGGCCACAGTACATCTCCCTCGTCTCCCCATGATTCTACCACCGCACGCCGGTACTTGTTTGGGTGCGGAGCCGGAGAGCGCGCGAGCCCACGGGTGGGATGCCGGCTCCGGGGACCGCTCACCGGCTCGGTCCTAACTCCGGCCATACTGCAGCCCCCCCGGGCGCTGAGGGAAACCTTTCCCCAGAAGCGTCGTCGCCCCGAGACGTCGTCCTGACGACGCACCCGGAAGGCGAGGAGCCGCCGGCGTCAGCGGGAGCTCTACTGCCGACCCCTCCGCTGCAGAGCGCGGGGAGGCGCCGCTCGGCCGGGACCGGGGAAGCGGGGCCCACGTGCCGCACCCCCCTCCCCGGGCTGGGGCTCGGCCGGGGCGGCCGGCTGTCAATCAGCCGCGGCTCGGAGGTGTTCGTGAGCCCTTCCCCAGGTGGGGCCGCGTCTCCGCTCCGGGCACAAAGAGGGCGCCGCCGCCTCGCCGCGCCCGGGCCTCGAGACCGGACCGCGGCGGGTAGCCGTCGGGAAAGGACGGGACACGCACACAAACACACACACGAACCGAGTAGGCCCCCGCCCTCGGCCTCTGAGGCCGCACACAAAGAGCCGCGCCGCCACCCCCTCGTCGCGCCCGCCGGGACTTGTAGTTCCCGCGGCCCCGGCCACGCCGCAGAGGGGGAGCGGCGGGACTACGACTCCCAGCAGCCCCCGCGCCCCGGCCCGCACCCGCGGCCTCCATCTTGGCTGCAGCCGGAGCCTCCATTTTCGCTCCCTCCCCCCACTTTACCACTACCACCACCGCCACGCGTCCCCCCCCTCACACCCCTCTCGGGCCTTGTCTCCTCCCGTGGCTCCGCGACCCGCCGAGAGGCCCAGGCGGAGAACGGGACGGACGGGAGAGGCCAGGTAGGAACTCGGTGTGAAGTCCACCCACCCTGAGCTCCAGGGGTTCCCGCCGGGGCTCCAGAGTCTCTCCCGTTAGTCCTGACCTTCTCATCCGCCCTCAACCGAGCTCCGCGCCACCCCTAGTTCTGCCCCGAGGTCGTACTCACCCCAACAGCTCAGCGCCCCCTCTCCAGCGCCGCCATAAGCAGCACGGCCCGGTACGTAGGAATAAATCTCGCTTCTCTCGCGAGAGTTGGAGTCTTCGAGCGCGTGCACGAGAATCGGGGGGGGGGCGGGAGGAAACGTGCTCTTGATGCGCTTGCGCAGTAGGGCCGAGTGACGCCAACCGGAGCTCTGGGTTTCCGAGTTGGCGGCCGCTCCTGCGCTCTCCCTAACCCCAGGGTTCATTGACCCCCAACGGGGCGGGCGGGGGCGCCAGCCGGGGTCGTATCTAGGCGGATTGGGTAAACCTGCGGGGCGACGGTTCTGGGAGCAGATTCGGGAGTGTCGTGCGGAGGACAGTCCACGAGCCCGTACCCCACTCTCTTGGCTTACCGGGCAGACGCTCTTTTGTTTCCTAGTTAGGACGGGCCGTAGGGTTGGTATTCTAGAAACATCTTTGCCGGAAACGGCCTGGGACGAGCTGGGCCGTGCTCAGGTGCCCCTCCGGACGCGCTTCATGACCTCCCCAGAGATGCCGCTCTCCGGGTTTCAGCCTCTGGAGGAGCGGGGTGACGGGCGTACCACACCAGAACCAGCTCTGCTCGCGGGGAACCACAGACGTGAACGCGACCACCAGCGCCCTGGCTGCGGCCTGGCAGGCAGCACTTGCGGGGCTGAGCAGGCGCCATTCAAGTTTGAGTGACCGCATAGAAAAAGGGGAAAAGGGCTGGCACCCTACCACTGGAGCTTTACCTCCACTACTGGAGCTTTACCCTTACCTCTGAAGCTTTAGCACTGGAGCTTTACCTCTACTTGTGTTGTTGTTTTTCTTTTGGTCGGTCAAGGGGCTTGAACTCTGGGTCAGGGTGCTGTCTCTGGCGCACTACCACTTTGAGCCATGGCACCACTGGAGGTAAAAGTCTCGTGAACTTTGCTGCCCAGGCAGGTTTCCAACCGCAGTCCTTGGATCTTAGCCTCCTGAGTAGCTAGGTTTGGAAGGCATGAGCCACTGGTGCCTGTTGGCTGACTCACTTCTGGCTTTTTGCTGGTTAATTGGAGATAAGAATTTTTTAGATTTGACTGACCTCCATTTTTGGTCTTCAGATCTATCTCACAAAGTAGTCTGGGTAGATTGCCCACATTAATCTTAAACTCTCAATTCTCCTGCCTGACTGAAATTTTGACGTGTAGATATGTGACACCATGTCTGCCAAGAATATTTTTAATTCAAATTAGATCCTGATTGGAACGAACTGTACTTAATCCTACTATGCCTGTATGGCCCTAAAACATCCGGATCCCGTCTATTCTCTAGATCCTAGGTTCTTAGCAATTCAATTCTACTACCATTATTTGCTCCAATACTTGTTTGTTCCTGTTTCAAGACCCATGAGCCTGTAGTCCTAGTAGCTACTTGGGAAGTAGAGATTAAGGAGTCACAGTTCTAGGCCAGCGTGGGCATAAAAAGTTGGTGACCTGGTGTCTGTGGCTGACATGTGTAATCCTAGCTACTCAGTAGGCTGAGATCTGAGGATCATAGTTAGAAGCCAGCTTGAGCAGATAAAGCTAAGACTCTGATTTCCAGTTAATCATCACCAGAAGGCTGGAAGTGGAGGTGTGGCTCAAGTGGTAGACTGCCAACTTTGAGCTGAAAAAGCTAAGTGAGAGCTTGAGGCCCTGAGTTCAAGCCCCAATACTTGTAAAGTTGATGATTCTCTAACTCATGCCATGGCTGGGCATAGTGGCACTTACCAGTTATCCTAGCTATGGAGGAAGCACAATGGCTAGATGCAGTGGCGTGCACCTGTTGTCTCCCATGATACAAAAAGCACAAATAGGAAGATGGTAGCCTAAGCTGTCCCAGGAATAAAGACCCTACCTTGAAAAAAAAACCAAGACAGTAAAGGGACTGGTGGTGTGGCATAAGTAGAGTACCTGCCTTGCAAGTGTGAGGCCCTGAGGTCAATCCCTGGTATTGAAAAAGGAAAAGAAAAAAGACATATGAGTTTGCTGTTGTCTCTACCTGCTATGCTTTTCCTCTACATCAATCAATGCCTTTCTGGAACATTCCCATTCAGGGTTCCAGCTCTACTGTCACTGATTCAAAACAAAACAAAACAAAAAAAAACCTGTCCAAAGTGTAAATAGCTACTTCCACCATCACTCTTCATAATAAGAGCTTGTTTATAGTCTCATTTCATGTATGAGTAACCAAAATTAACACAGTGATTAATCAGTTATTGTTCATCTCCCCCAACTATAGCATTGAGATTCAATTTCCTGGCTGGCCTAGCATTCATGAAGCCTTGGGTTCCATTCCTCAGTACCACAAAAAACAGAAAAAGCCAGAAGTGGCGCTGTGGCTCAAGTGATAGAGTGCTAGTCTTGAGCAAAAGAAGCTCAGGGACAGTGCCCAGGACCCTAGTTCAAGTCCCAGGACTGGCAAAAAAAAAAAGAGAAAAAAAATACAATTTCCTGTTGGTTCATCATTGTATCCTCAAAAATTGCCTAGGACATATGCAGCAAGTACTTGTTCATTGCAGAATGAATTGCACTTATTGTGTGTAAGACAGTACTGAAGACATTTATGACTTACCAATAAAAATTACACTGTCACTTTCACTGTGAAATAATACTTTATTTGGAATTTTTTTTGTGAGGGGCGGGGGGGGGGCGTATGGGGGCTGGGAGGGGGGGTTTGAACTCAGGGCCTGGGCACCATCCCTGAGCTCTTTTGTTCAAGGCTAGCAGCACTCTACCACTTTGAGCCACAGCGCCACTTGGAGATAAGAGTCTCAAGATCTCAGATCTCAGGTTCCTGAGTAGCTAGGATTACAGGTGTGAGTCACCACACCTCTTTTTGTTTTCTTAGATAGGATCTTATTATGTATGTATTCTTGGCTGGTCTTGGAGGTACACTGTGCTGAGTGCTGGATGCTGGGATTCTGTGACTAGCACACCCTATTCAGGCATAGGCTGTCAATTTTGTGCATATATAAAACTAAAGCTTCAGTAAAGTAACTTGGTAAAGCTATTCCCAAGACTTAGCAAGGCTTAGCTTTTCTGGACCTCTTTTTAGTAGGAAATCTTAAACATTTAAAAGTGTCATTCAGCAGTTGGTGCCAATGGCTCATCTATAATCTTATCTATGCAGAAGGCTGAGATCACATGACCTCCATTTGAAGCCAGCCAGAACAGTAAAGTCTGTGAGACTTATCCCCTTAACTTACAAAAAGCTGGAAGTGGGGGCTGGGAAGGTAGCTCAGTGGTTCGATTCCTCAGCACCACATTAGTAGAAAAAGCCGGAAGTGGTGCTGTGACTCAAGAGATAGAGTGCTAGCTTTGAGGTGAGGAGCTGAGGGACAGCGCCCACGCCCAGAGTTCAGGCCCCACAACTGACAAAAAAAAAAAAAAAAAGGCTGCAAGTAGGTGTATGGCTCAAGTGGCAGAGTGTCAGCCTTGAGTTGAAAAAGCTAAGGAAGGGTCTGGGAAGGTGGCTCAGTGGTAGAGTGCTTGCCTTGCATGCATGAGGCCCTGGGTTTGATTCCCCAGCACCACATAAGCAAAAACAAAAAAAGCCGGAAGTGGTGCTGTGGCTCAAGTGGTAGAGGGCTGGGAAGGTGGCTCAGTGGTAGAGTGCTTGCCTTGCATGCATGAGGCCCCGAGTTCGATTCCCCAGCACCACATAAGCAAAAAGAAAAAAAGCCGGAAGTGGCGCTGTGGCTCAAGTGGTAGAGGGCTTGCCTTGAGCTGAAGAGCTGAGGGACAGTGCCCAGGCCCAGAGTTCAAGCCCCATGACCAGACCCCCCCCCAAGAAAAAAAAAAAAGAAAAAGCTAAGGAAGAGTGAGGCCTGAAGTCCTGAGTTCAAGCTCCAATATGAGTATATTAATAAGAAAAAAACAAAGAAGCAGGGCGCTGGTGGCTCACGCCTGTAATCCTAGCTACTCAAGAGGCTGAGATCTGAGGATCGCGGTTCAAAGCCAGCCTGGGCAAGAAAGTCCGTGAGACTCCTTTCCAATAAACCACTAGAAAATCGATGTGGTGCTGTGGCTCAAGCGGTAGAGTGCTCGCCTTGAGCTGAAGAGCAAAGGGACAGCTCCCAAGCCTAGAGTTCAAGCCCCATGACCAACCAAAAAAAAAAAAAAAAAGGAAAAAAAATTCAAAGAAAAGGAAAATGTAGGAAGTACTTGAATTTCTTTGTTCAAACACAAACATCAATACAGGTAAATAAACATTTGCAATTATGTCCAGCCTTATCAGTAATTAGGGAAATTCATATTTGTTTTGAGATTTTAGACTTACAGAAGAGTAATTCAGAAAGGTCTCATTAATCTTTCAAGCAACTTACTGAAAAACATTTTTCAAAATGAGACAATTAACTTTGACACAGTGATATAAAACTACAAAATTTGGGCTCTGCCAGCTTTTCCTCGTCTTTTTTCTGTTCTAGTACCAGGACTTGACTTCAGGGCTTCTCATTCTCACTTAGCTTTTTCACTCAAGGCTGGCATTCTACCACTTGAGCCACACATACCCAGTTGCTTTTATTATCTTTTGAATTGGGGTCTCAATTTTTGCCAGATTGACCTTAACTTCAAGCCTATTTATGTTCCCTGTGTAAGTGGCATAACAAGTGCGTACCACTATACCCAGTTTAATAGTTGGAATGGAGTCTTAGGAACTTTTGCCTGAACTGGCCTCCAACTGAAATCCTTCCAATCTTAGCTTCCTGAGTAGCTGAGATTATAGAAATGAGCCACTGTGTCCAGCTCCCTCAAGTTAGGTTTGTTTGATGTTTTCTCTTGATGAGATTGTGTATTACGATCATGTGCTGCATTATTTGTCAAGTTTGGCCACAGATATGAAGTTGGTCCCATGATAAAGCTGGAAGGTTGTATGCCTAGTGATTTTCAGATACTTTTTTTTTTTTTTTTTGGGGGCGGGGGGTCCGGTTGTGGGGCCTGAACTCTGGGCCTGGGCACTGTTCCTCAGCTCTTCAGCTCAAGGCTAGCGCTCTACCACTTGAGCCACGGTGCCACTTCCAGCTTTTTTCTTTTTGCTTATGTTGTGCTGAGGAATCGAACCCAGGGCCTCGTGCATGCAAGGCAAGTGC